TCCAGCCTGCAGCACGCAGTGCAAAAGCCCGAAACCTGGGTGAGAGGAAAGCTGATGTCTTTACAAACAATGTCATGGGTGAAGGTGTGGGTGTTAACATCTTTGAAATGGGGCTTAATGTCTCTGCTAACTCTGGGCAGCTGGTCTGGACAAGCCTGAGTTTCTGAACTTTGGGGTAAAATAGTAGGTTCAAGGGGGGAATATGTGGTAGGCATTTAGGGAAGGCTGTACCTTCCTAGTACCTCAGCCAACGGGGAAAGGAAGGGAGCAATGTATAGCCAGGATAAAAGGAGACTGCACTCTCCAAAACCTCAGGAGAGAAAAGTTTGTGGGCGTGTGCTCTGGTGGACTCTCCCTTTATGTGAGTAAAGCTGCATGACTCCTCTGTCTCCTTTTTGGACATAAACCTCTGTTTATGTGTTTGTAGATTTTCCTGACACCAGCTTGGGCTCACTCTTCTGCTAAAGTCAGGCCAAGTGATCTTAATGGCTTTTTCTGCACTTAGCAGCCAGCAGAGCAGCTGCAGTCCAAAATAGTTAATCCTACAGGGGTGCTTCAGCTCTGCAGAGGGCAGCAGGAAAACACAGGTCAAGAAAGTTTTCCTGCTGTAAGTAAATTGCATTATTGCAATGCAAATATTGGCCCATTTCCTGAAAAGACCATAGTGACCTCATTTGATTCTTTGAAAGGAATATAAAATCTGTTTTTTTTGGGCTTTTTTCCTAAATTGAATGTTATGCTGGAATAGGATATTTTAGTGATGAAATGAAAGGTCAAACTGTGGTAAGGATGCAACCATGGCAATATGGGAATGGCTGTTGGTACAAGTTTGCAGGAGCAATTTGCATAACCAATAAGAACAACTTTCTGTGCTCTTAAACTTTCCCTGTGATCACTGGGTAAACAAATATATAAAGCAGACTTAAAAAAAAAAAAGGCAAACTATAAAAGAAATGCCTGAGGGTGTGCTTCCTTGGAGCTTTCCCCTTTCTGAGAGCTCTTAACACACTGTTTATTTTGCAATGATCTAGCAGGAAAAATAGCCATCAGTTGCTTTGGCTGCACCAATGAAGAACTTCAGCAGCATGTTTTGATTCTTGCCTGAGCAAGTCCAGGATCTCCTGCAATAATTCTACTGCAACAAATCATTACAGTGTTTATTTTAGATGGGGTTAGATGGACTCCAGTTGTTCTCAGACTAGTCCAACATACAAAGTTTTCTTGCATTGAAAAATATTTTTTAAGGCATTTAAAAAAAAAATCAAAGTGTCATGAAAAGCCTATAAATCAGACCATCCCCAAAACTGGTTTGCAAATTTTCAGTTTCCACTCTCCATTGCAGGTCAGCATGTCCTAGTAACCTGACTGAGCCTTTGCTAACAGTGAAATAACCTTTTCCATAGTTCCTACAGTCACCTCACTCTGGTCTACCACTGATGGCATCAGATACAGGTGAAACTGTTGTTCCAGAGTGATGGAACATCAGCATCCCAATTAGCCTGCCTGACTCCTGTCTTGTTCCAAAGTTTCACTCTCAAATATTGCAGTAGCTTGGGAAAATAATTACATCAATACAGTTTGCTGTGAAGGTCTTACTTGACACCATATCACATGATTTGTTCTCTGCAGCAAGCTCTGCTTACAAAACCAAGAAAACACTAATGTAGCCTTCCATGAATATTGGCTTTTTTTTCTTTTTTTTACTAATTACTTCTTTAATGTTTAGTCAGAGGGTAAACTACCCAGCACAATCTTTTTTTTTTTTTTCTGGGGAACTGCATAATAAAAATATAGATAGTGCAGTGCCTGAACGGCAGTGCCTGAAAAAAATCTGTTACCTTGAGATGAGATTTCTTTTCTGCAATTGTCAGCACCCACTGGCCTTGTCACAAGGGAGCTGCCAGTGGTGGCACCAGAGGTGAGAGTCAGGACTTACCTCACTGCCAAGTGAGCATCTGAGTCACCCCTGCCTTCGTGGCAAGAGGAATGCACTGCAATGAACTGCAATAAAAATGCCTGCTTGAGGTTAGAAGCACAGTTGTTGTTGCTGATCAGAAATAAATTAAGCAGTCTAGTTCTGCTATGGGCTAACCTGTGCCCTCTAGGAATAGTATGAGGCTGGTTAGGAAACACTGACCAAATGGTGTCCTTATGTATAAAAGTTCCTCAAATGCATTTTCTTTCCAGGAAGAAAGAAAAGTAGACTGGAAAAGTTATTAAGCCTAGCAGTAGAATGTGTCACAAACCCAAACACCAAAAGCCTTTGAACTGAGATGCTGTGTGAATCCTGCAAAGAAAAATGTGTAATTTACTGTTCTCAGTGTCATGGTGCTACAAGGTGCCATGACGACACTGATGATTTCATCAAACTATTTTTGATCTGAAGCATCACTTCAAGCATCCCTGGGAGACAGTGCTCTGCAGATTAAGAGTCCCCTTTTCCAGAGAATGATTGAAGAGTAATCAAAATGCTGCAGAAGTGCCTGAAGGTGACAGTAAAATTCAAATACTGTGGTCACTTTAAAAATAAAGCTTTTAAAGGAAATACAGTAATCTGGAACAAAATTACTTTTTTCAGCCACCTTCATTATTTGTTGTGACATGAATAATAGTAATCTTCAGAGGAAACTGAAGCCTACAGAGCACCTTCTGGCTTTGGAATCAAACCCAGGAATGCTGTGTAATCACACAAACTGTAGACTTCAAGAAGACTGCCTGATGCTCCCGATGCACACAGCCATTTCAACCCTCATGACATTCTCACATTCTGAGCAGATGAAGTAAGTCAGGGAAAAATCACACTGACCATGGAGCATTCTGTTCCCCCAAAGCTGGGGGACCTCTGTATCTCCCCTGGTGACAGTCTGGTTTGGACAATTTCATCAAGCTTCCAAGCCTTTGAGGCCTTCTCTACCCTTTTGAAGCTTCAAGTGACAAGATGAGAAATCATGGTATTTCTAGGCTTTAGGCAGTAGCCTCTAAGTGAATTTTTTTATTTTTTAATTTTTTTTTTTTTAGTATTAGGGCCTGAAGAAAATTCATTTGTTTATTGGGAGCAGAAGATAACACGAATTCAAGTCCCCTGGAGCCAGTTAATGATCTCTGGGTGAGTAATTCTCACCCCAGTGGGACAGTGCCTCTTCATTCCACACAGGATGTACATTCTGTCTAATGCCTGCAGGGCTGTTCAGATCCAGCTGATTAATTATTCTGAGAAACTCAAGTTGCCTTCCAATATTTGGTGGAGAAAATGCCATGTACAGCCTTGCAAGTTGCACTGTTATATTTTATATTTTTTCTCTTGGCAGCAAGCTGGACAAGTCGATTTCTAAAAGAATAACTGACTTTGCAGTCATCTGCAGTCCCCCTATTACCTTAACCAAACTAGTGATCAACATCTAAAAGACCTTAGGACTGCCCCATTCTGAAAAAAGAAAGTGGGAACTCTCTGGTTCCGCCTAATGCAGGCTAGAAAAACTTCTGAAATGTTCAATACTTCCCTGGGATTTTTCCATCTGCATGGAGTTTGTAGCTTCTGTAGAATCTTATGTCTGTTTCTGGAAACTCTTAACACAAGGCCACAATACTGACAATGCCCTTTAGATACTATTTACTGCCTTTTTAATGGTCTAAACACTGTTACAAGCAGAAAGCAGTTTACTGAGGAAGCACTGGAAATTAGCATCCTAGAGGCTGAATTTTGATCCCTGATATGAAGCAGTATTAGCTTGTTACTCACAAATCAGTAATTATGCCCAACCATTGCCAACACTTAGCCTTTGTGACATATATGCTGAAGTTCTTGCTACAAAGTTCAGGACATTATTGTTTCGTTTTCTGAAAAGTTGTTGTTAAATAAAGCTGCAAATATTGATTTAGGACATGGTCAGGGAGGGTTAGTTCATTGCAAAGCACAGACAGAAGGAAATCCAGCAGACTTGTAAGAAACCTTTCCAGCACAGGAAACAGCTGGACTGCTAGGCATTTGCCTATTTTATCCATGCATAAACCACATCACTTTCTGGAAGCTTTGGATCACAGAGCCTCCTCCCAGCTATAGAAATAATTATCTGACTACTCATAGCTAGGATGGCTTCACATTTCCCATTTACCTGATGAGGTTTCTAGTGTTTTCTTGGAAGGACCGAGAATCTAACCAGAAAAAAAAGAAATAAAACAACCAACCCCAAAACTCCAACACCAAAGAAACTTTAGACAATAATAAATTTCTGGGATTGTTCCTTCCTAGTTGTGGGAATGTTTAAATTACAGTGGCAACTGGGGATATTGCCTGCAGATTTCATAGAGGTACCTTAAGAGGAACATGACCTTGTGGTCCTGGTTGTAAAACAAACGACCTACCTGAAAGTTCAACCCAGTGTTGAACTGCATTGGTTTATGACACAAGGCTTGTGCTCTGCAGCATCTGCAGCCTCCTTCTGTGAAGCATCTCCTATACCAAAATAGCTGAGAGAGAATCCCAGCTTTGTGGAGAAGTGAGATTTTAAAAAAAAGAAACATTTTCTTACCATGACTCTACATACTTTGAAGCAGGTGTCCTCAAATTTGCCTGGCTCACACCTGGGCTAAATGCCTGAGGGTAGGTGACAGAACCCTTGCAGTCTTCACAAGGGTTCTGCTGTGCTCCCACTGAAGATAACTCTGATTTTAGCCATAACTGAATGTAATGTCTCACTTCTATCCTGTCTCAGAAGTTATCCTCCCTCTCTCCCCAGATAATCTCTAGGCAACCAAGTGCTTTATTAAAATAATAGCTGTACTACTCTCAAGAAGCTGCCTTTGGATCGCTCTGCTTTAAAGGGTTAACTTGCCCTTTCATTTCCTCACAGACCTTTTCCAAAGCAAAGGAGAAATCTCTATGCTAGAGCAGTACAACTCGACTACCAATGGTAGTATTTTAATTCCACACCCAAGAAAATGTCCCTGGATGCCAATACTCATGTGTAAAATAAATTTCTATACTCTGGATACAGGCACTCTGCATGTACAAATATGTTTATTAATGACACAAAAAGTCATACACTTCGATTTTCCTACATTAAAAGGCAAGTTCTAAGGAAAAAAAAAATATCACTTTTTATTAGCAACTGTCAAAAATATTACTCTTGGCTCCAATCAATTTAGGCATTATACACTTTATTAGTAACATAGAATGGTAAGGAATGATGCCATCCACATATACACATACATACAGTATTGCAATCAGAGAATATTCATTAAGAACTTTTAATTTTCTCTTGAAATAAAAAACTGGACTCTAACAAAACCAAAATATTACAGCAAAACACATTTGTTATGTTCATGAGTAGAACAAAGACGTGAGCAGTAAATAACATGGGTCTTACACAGAAATACATTTCTCTTATGAAGTTTTTTTTGCTTAATTCATTCAAGTTCCTGCATTAACATCACTTCTCCCTCTTTGCAGAATTCAGACCCAATGGTGGGGCTGGGCACTATCATGTATTATTGTGTAAAATGACAGCTTGTGCTCCATGAAACATCAGTAGCCTGTAACACTTGAGAAGGAGGTACATACATGTATTGAAAACAACTGTAAAGGTCACACATTCCCATTCACACAGAAAAACTAGTAAGCTTACAACATGGAAAAGGAAAACAATAAATGTTTACAGCTTAACCCAATTTCACTTAGTTGTAGATGCACAAGGTAGTACAAGTATTTCTCAAAAAAAAAAAAAAAAGAATTTTCATTAGGCAACATGGGCTGGAAGCTGTAATTACACACTCCACTGATTGTCTTTGAAACAGATTGCCTTGAACAAAAGAGATGACCAAGAGGCTGAAGTTAGAAAAGCCCTATTGATGCCTTAAGTTTTAGCTTTCATATTTTCCAGATTCTGTACTGCATTAGTATGTCACTCTGAAGTTCATATAAAGTGTTTGCAAATTCTCTACACAGTTTAGTTTGACAAAACAATCCTTTTCCAGCTTGAGAACCAAGAACACCATTGCAACTTCAGACCCAAAAAGCATAAACAACAGTGAATTGATAAGAGCAATCTCGGAGGATGGGACTTCATAACCTGAAGCTGCAATTGAACAATTAACCCAAAATGTAGATGGAAACACTCGGAAAAAAAGCAAATTGAAAAGCAAAAGCTGATGCATGGGACTGAGATGCAGCTCCTCCCTTGGTTTCCTACACCATCCTCTCCTAGCTGATGTGCAATTCAAATCACAAAACAATTACTTTTTTTTAGCCCCCAACTCTACTCTTGCTGGAGCGCTGAGCCAAGATCTGAAGGCTAAGAGTCAGAAACCCTATTTGCAATTCCAAATGCATGTGGAATTTCCAGGCTAAGAAGGTTGCATGGAGAACTCACAGCAACCTTCCAGTATCTGAAGAGGGACTCCAGGGAAGTGGGAGGGACTCTTTGTCAGGAATTGTAGTGATAGGACAAGAGGAAATGAGTACAAACTGAAAGAGAGGGAATTTAATTTAGATATCAGGAATAATGATTTTACTGTGAGGATGGTAGGACACTGGAACAGGCTGCCCAGGCAGGCTGTGGACATCCCAATTCTGGCAGTGTTCAAGGCCAGGTTAGATAGAGCCTTGAGCAGCCTGGGCTAGTGGGAGATGTCCCTGCTCACGGCAGGGGGGTTGGTCCCTTCCAATCTCTTAACATTCTATGATTCTGTGTTTGATTGAGTAGATGTTGGCTGCTAAAACCCAAAAATTAAAAAGCAAAAACCATAAAGCCTCAACTACTCCAAATTTATTTCTGCCATGAGCTAGAACCTCAATTTCTTGACAAATGATAAAACTATTGCATAAAAAATACCGATTTGCTCTTTATTTGCTCTTTTTTCTCCTGCTGAGCCTTTCATTTAAATACTTTATAATTGCTGAAAATAGCTCATAGGTTTCCATCTTTCAAGATCTTTTTAGAAGGGGAATATTAAATCCAGGATGTAATTAAGCCTTCATTATTAGGAATATTTTCTTTTCAGGGACCCAGCAGGCTTTCCAGCAAGCCAAAATCTTCTTTCAACCTTTTCAGAAGGTAGCCAAGTAATTTAGCAGAAGATAAAAAACACAAGGAGCCAGAACTAGAATATTTTTTCAATAATCAGCTGAACATAACTAAAGAAACTGGAAACTAGTAGAGAAGAAAGGAATTGAAAAATAAATTTTAAGAATGGAACAAAAATACTCAATCTTTTATTTTGAACAGTGTATACTGAACATCCTGGATACTGCCAAAGACTTTCTACTGGACATTTAAAAACAATTCCCCACAACTACAAATATAATTTGCAAAACCAAAAGTCAAAGCAACCATGCATGGGCCATGAACATAAATAATTTCTGTATCTGTATCTTGATGAAAAACATATATCTATTTTGGCACACATTACTATCATTTTTCCAAAGGGAAAAGCCACCCACATATGTCACAAGGCAGAAACTTTCACTTTTCTGACTCAGGCTGAAAACCTGTACATCCCTTGATGGGGCAGTTTCAATGGAAAGGACTGACATAATGAAAGCATCTCTGCTTTCACTCCTACACCCCTGCCTGCCATTTGAATAGTCAAGAGTGACTTTTCCTATATTCAGCTGATTCAGCAGTGGACTCTTCTGAGAGTTTACCCCTCCAGAAGCAGCAAGGCCTGGTCATTTTCTCCCTAGCACTGGACCTGGCAAAGAGACATGAACCCTTTTTGGCAAGGCAAGTGTTCCAAGTGTGCTCAGTTTATTCTGATAGGTCTTCCCCTGTCTAAAACACTTATCATACAAAATGTTTAAATCAAGATCATCACATTTAGAGGCTAAGCTTAGAAAGAGAAGATTTCAGGGCCCTTTTTCTACAAAAGGATTTTCCTGAGTCTACAGCGAAATAAGAAAAAGAAAAGCTCTTAATTATATTTATTGTACTTAGAGACTAAACTTGGAGTTTGTTGCTGTTGTTAAACCCCAACCATCCACCAAGTCCCAGGCAGCTGCTTGCTTGCTCCCTTCCCCACCAATGGGATTGAGGACAGAATCAGATGGGTAAAAGCTGGGAAAACTCATGGCTTGAGATAAAGGCAGCTTAGTAGGGAAAGCAGAAGCCACACACACAGGCAAAGAAAAACACGAAATTAATTCACTGCTTCCCCTGGGCAGGCAGGTGCTCAGCCATCACCACCAAGTGTAATGGCTGCTTGAGCAGAAAACACCATCACTCCAAACATCTCTCCCTTCCTCCTTCTGCCCCACTGCATATACTGAACATGATAACACATGGTCTGGAATGTCCCTTTGGTCAGCTGGGGTCACCTGTCCTGGCTGTGTCTCCTCCCAACATTCCGTGCACTCCCAGCTTCCTTGCCTTTTCTGTTGTATGAAAAGCAGAAAAGGCCTTGGCTCTGTGTAAGCCCTGCTCAGCAGCAACAAAAAAATCTCTGTATCATCAACCCTGTGTTCAGCACAAATCCAAAACACAGCCCCATGCCAGCCACTGTGAAGAAAATTAACTAGCCCAGCTGAAACCAGCACAGAGTTAAATAATTCCCCATCCCCAATGGCAACAATCTGTGGGAAACTTCGAGCAGGATTTTACCTTCTGGATGGCACTGCATCCATGGGACTCAAAGACACAGCATCATTGATGGCACTGAACTTGCAGGCACAGTTTGCTGAGCTAAAAAATGAAACGTTTCCAGAAAGTCCAGTAACCCAGGTCTGACTTTCCCAGCAATAGTATTATGGTAGTGCTATCAGTTCTGTGGGTGTGTAGATAGAGCACAAGGTAAAGGAGAAAATTTTCAAAAGCACTGCAATAAGAAACCCCCATTCCAAATACAGATAAATGAAGTAACAAAAAGTTACTGTTATAATGTCTGCTCATTTTGCAGCTCAGATGATATTAAAAAAAAATACTTGATCAGAAAAAGTGAAAATATCACTATTTTCAGTCATCCTTACAGCTTTTAACACGCTGCAAAAGACATGATTTAAGTTACACAAGCACAGGAATTTCACATGAGACAAGTGATACAATTCATAAAAAGGACAGAACACGTTTTCTGATACTCCACAAATATTCAGAGGTTTAACACACAAAATGGAATTTCTTCAGCAGCACTGATTAAACTCAAGATGAGGCAGGGATCTTCTTTACAAAGTAAAGGCACTGGCTCTTTGTAAACACTAATTCCTCTCTCTTTAACTGAGAAAGCACTCAAAATATTCCATGGAGGAAACTTGTGTGGTAGTGTTCCACTGCTTATAAATATTTCAAAACAGAGATATTAAAGGCCTTTGTCATCCTTTTTACTGTATTTAATAAGAAATGGTTTTTTCTGCAATTTATCTAGTGAGAAACTTTTTAAATCTCCCCAGAAATGCTACAATGAAGCTATAGCAAGAACAGTGTTTTCTCTTATCTGCCTTCTGATACCTATAAAGAAGTTTCAAGGCAAAAGAAATGTCAGATGCCAGTATGAAACACACACATCATCTCTTGTTTTCAGTATTGTGCTATCACTTTTCCAGAAGGAATCATTGGCTTATATTCAAATACAGATACATTTAAAGTAAAAAATGAACTCGTGAACATCCTCCTGCTGTGCATTTCCCTACTCTTTGACTTTTCAAATGCACCAGCAAGACTGAACAAGAAAAGATTAGACACTTCTGATCATGATAACTGTAGTTCAAGATTCCTGATTTTTTTCAAGTATGCATCCTGAATGCACATCTCCCTACCGTGGAGTGTTCACACAGCTCTTTACTAATGAAACTGCAAGACTTGAAAATGTTAAAATAAATATTCCATACAAAGGTGAATTGTTTGCATCTTGAGCAAAATGAACTGAGCATCTTCATAGCTTCCAGTACACAACTACCACCAATATCAACAAACACATTTCACTACTCATACACACAAATCCAGTGATTACACTAGCTCATATCATTCTGTATCTAACCAAAATTGTGCGTTTCTGAGTCACCTTCCTTCAGCTTCATAAATCTGACTCTATCTTTAATGTAGTGCTTTCAGGTTCTACAGGACTGTCAACTGGCACCTGAAGAGGGAGATAAAAAAAATAAAAACACAACGTGAATTAAGCTGTTATTCAACAGAATCATTCTCAAACTCAGTATTCTTGGGTAATTATTAGGTTAGACTACAACAATATATGTAGTTAATTAGCCCAATTAAGCAAATTATATAAAACCCTATTTTCCTTTCTTTTTGTAATAAAAAAAAAGAACCTCAACATAGAATTTAGTTTCTTAGTATAACGCTAAAGTGTATATTAACTGCATATAAATATCTGTCACATGAAGAATAACGTCCCATTCTTTTCTCTGTTACATTTAAACACAGTAGAATCTTGACCAAAGTTCGGTATCTAAGTGATATTGAACATTATTAACACAGGCAGGTCTCATTCATGCATGGCAACATCAGGGCAAGGACTGCAGCTTTTCTTACTAGGATCTAGGCTAGTTAACGAGGTGATAATGGAAAGCAGAGAAGCCTGCACAGCCCCAAACCCACAGGATGCCACACTGAGCACACACAGCTGCACAGGTTTCGGGTTCAAGTTAGCTCAGGCAGCACCAGCTCGAAGTTCCTGACCTCACACAGACACTAACAGTGTGCAGTTGGTCACAGACGATCAAAAGCTGCTGGGCATGCAAGACACCTACACAAAAAGAAGCAAGGCAGAGGATCTTGCAATATCTGACTCCAAAAAGCTGTCTCATATCTTGAGCCAAACAATCAAAAACCCACAGCACTGAAAAATTTTGCCACTGAAAGCTTTATCTCTACTAGTAACTGTGTAGTTTGGAAAAGCTGCTGAAACATGGAGCCTTGTGATCATCAGAAAATGCTATGCTCACTCTTCCTTTAAATTGAGAGTGTCAGCAGAAGAACAAACCCAGCTCTTTATGCAGCACTGCACAGGAACTCCAGCATGGCTTCTGTTCATCAGAAAGTGACTTCATCTGAAGGGACTGCAGGTATTTTAAATAAAATACATAGTCTATAGGATGGCCTCACAACTCAATAAACAAAGAGGCTTCACAATTTATAATGCTACCCCACCATTGTGAAAAAGCAAGATTCAAGAAAAAAATTATTAGCCACTTAAAATAAAAATATTCAAAAAATTTAAAAATTAAAAGAATTCCGAGAGCAGAAGTTTTTTCAGTTTTTTTCACAGGAGTTAAGGAGAAAAACAGGTATGTGACAGCAGCATCCCATGTGGCTCTGTTGTTCAAAACCAGCATGGTTGGAACAACATCAGATCATAAGTCATAAGATTTTGTCTTATGCAAAATCTCTTGCAGCTGATATTGTTATGCCAGTAGAAGTCAAGCATTCAAGTAGGTAATACAATCATGGTAAAAGAGTCACCACTTACAGCTTTAACGTCCAAGTTCATAATCCCTGAATTCACATTGTGTCTTCGCAAATCTGATTTTATTAAGGCTAAAAAAAGAAGGAAAAGGGAAAGCTGGTTCACACCTTTGCACTGACATGCTCTTCAAGGGAAATGTTTGCAGGGTACAAGCACACAGAAGCTGCTTTCAGCACATTTTCAAAATACCTGTAGCCACTCTTTTGAACTCACTGAAAATTTGAACTTGCTCCTCACAAAGCAGGAAATGATAATAAAGTCTTTTAAACCACAGGCACTTAAAGAAAAGCTTGATAGTTCAGCACTTTCAACACATTTGTGAGTCAACATGTGTAAACACTAGCACAGTTCCAGAGTGCATCAGCAATTTCTTGCATTTGGAAAACTGCAAACTGCCTCCATTTGCACATTTTTTTCTATTTCTTACCCCATTCTGGAGATGGACATCTGTCTTAAATTCAAGACATGTCTCAAGAAATGGGGGTCAGATTGCTGTCCATATATTAGCAACATCATCCTAAAAGCACCTACATTTTTACACTACTTGCACTTGTAATTACCTGTTAAAATAATGCCCACAAAAATCCAAGCACAAAGAAAGATGTTTCCAGCACGAGGACTGTAGTCTGTTGTGAGCTTTCCTTGGACAAGTGTAAAGATAATTCCAAATATCTATAAACAAACAAGTAACTTCATCAGGATCACACAGAAAAGAGGCATCGTTTTACCTTTGAAAGTTCCAGGTCATATCTTATAGAAATCAAATTAAAAAAAAAACAAAAAACAAACAAACAAACAAAACTAGGACTATAGCAACAAAGCAGAGATTTATCTAAGTCTAAGAGAGCCTTCCTAGACTTGAGCATAGTGGCATTCCTGAACGATTACTTCACTTGAAGAAATAAAATGCTGTAACCTGTGCTGATGCATTAAGGAGACCTGAGGACGTGCCTTCAGACTCTGGATATGTAATTTCCACAGCAAATTCAAACCCAAGTGGAAGATAGCCAGTCATGAAGAACCTGTTGAAGAGGAGAGTAAGAGGATGACAGGTGTGGTCTTCATCTGTTACTACAGCTAAGAAACATACACAACTGTCATGTGTTCATGACTTAACAGAATTCAGTAACTCCAAATAATAGTGACTCTTCATTACCTCAGTATGATCCAAGAATTTTAGCCACACATTTTTCTCTTTAGGGCAAAGCTGTTAAAACATGTTTGCCCTATTTCCCACAACCACCATACATATGAAACAACCTTTGCAAACGAGTCTGCAGGCCACTCCATACTTTAAGCCAATTACTTTCATATGAAACACTCACACAAACAACATCATTTGATCAGCCCAAATAGCCATGCTGGAGGACAAAAAAAGACCATGAGTAGGGAATGAGGCTGTACACTTGAACACCTGCTGGAAGCTGTGGAAGAAGCTGAGGGGACCGATGGATGATGGGAAGAGAAGAGGCTTAATGCAGCTGAGGTTGGTTGTCTGGCTTTTACACTGAAACTATCAAGATATCTCTGGTTTCATCTTGACCTCTGTGTCTAAATACAGCAACACTCCCTCAGCATCTCTTGAGGATTTTAGATTGGGTATCTATAACCAAAGCAACCAGCATGTTGCCTGAGCTATCAAAGTACAGATAAATGAAAATGCAGAGAAGCCAGTCTTCCTAGATCTGCTCAGTTAAACTCTAATCACGTACACACTGCTCAAGAGAAAGCTTCAACTTCACTGCAGACAGCTTTTTGAATTGGAACTAAGCAAATTGACCACATAGAGATCTCTTCTAGGTCCATAAAATGGTTAATGAAAGTTACTGAAAAGTGAGTTATTTTAGCTTTATTATGATGTAACAGAAGGTGAAACCCTATCTGTACTGTGAGCTAAAGGCATAAGCTGAGACCATGGTGACAGAATACACAGCAGAATTATCTAAGTAAAACACTTAAATATGTTTCAGAACAGAACTGCAGTAAGTGTTGTAGTGCTCTTTAATTGCTCACCCAAGCACTCCTCCAGTCACGAACACTACTATAAGGTATCCGAGGTCCAGGGTGAAGGTAAATACCAGCAACCCAATGAAAGAGAGAATGTAAACAATCAAAGTAGTTTGCCTGCAACCCAACAACAACAACAACAAATTAACATTGTTAATAGAAGGCCATAGCACATTGCTGAAGCATGGAAGGATAACAAGAACATCACATAAGCCACTCTAAAGCTATAAAATTTGCTTCATGTAATTCTGCCTCAAACTTAGCATGCAGTGAGCACATATTCATTCCTAAACCCTTCATTTGTTATCTGGCTGCTTCACTCAAGGCTAAGGACTTACTCAAACTCTCAAAGAATGGACAATCACAGTACATACCTTAAGACTATTTTAGTTCTCTGCTATGCTGTACCTCTTGGCCATTCTGCAGGGCTGCCCATTATGCAATACATCCACACAGGAGCAGCTGAGTCCAACACTATTAGCAATAAAAGTCAGCCTACCAAGAGGCAAGTCAAACAAATCTCATTACAGTGTTCTATTTTTTTTTTTTTTGAATCTGGAAGAAGGGATGTCTTCCAAATTCTTGAAACACATATTTGTAGGCCAAAACACATGCAGAAACAAAGCCAATCTACAACATTAACATCCATTAGGCTTGTAGAGGCACATAATGTACTAAGAGTCACAGGGGAGAACTACTCCATCACAAACAGTGCTCCAGGGCAGTGCTCACTCCTGGGGGCTCCACACCATGGATGATGGACCCAGGAGCTCCTACCACAAAGAGAGCTCTGCTCCATGGTCATCCCCTGAATTAAAGCAAACATTACACTTACTAACAGGATCAGGAGTAGCATAAAAAAATTGAGAATCCATCAGCTGGCCATTTGACAAAACAGTGCAGGGTAGGCTTTGAGACTGTATGCTTTCCTAGGAGAAGAAGCCCTCTGGGCCACCTGGCCACTGTATGTAGGACCTACAGTGCTTTCCTTACACTCCTGAAGAGACAGGAATAGATGACAAATCCCTTTGCATTCTGTTCCCTCACTTCTTTTGGCCAATAACCAGTAAGAGTCTCAGAAAATGCAGAAACTTCTCTCCATCACGGCCACCAAAAGATCAGGGACCAACTGCATTTCATCAGCAGTTCATTTCAGGCCTTATGTTGGAGTATTTTGCTAATGCAATTGCACCACTCTCCTACCCTTAACCCCACACATGCCTACCCACACTTACTTGTATGTTTTAGTGTAATCCAGCCACAAACCACAAATAATCGAACCCACCATTCCTGCCACCACCAGTGTCAAGCCAATTCTCCCAGCGTTCACTTCTTCTCCCTTTCAACAAATATTTATATGGTGCTCATTAATAATTGCTTCCATTCAGAGTCAAGTTCAGACCTCTTGGCAGTCATAAGTGCAAACAAACATTCCTATGACTCCCACAGCTGTATGGTACAAGAAACTGTACAGAGGTATAAAAGAAACCAAATGTCTGAGCACACATAGTACCTACAAAATAAATATCACCTCTGCAAATGTACAGTGAAAAAGAGAAATATAAGATCCAAGAAACTTACCTCATAATGAGTTACTATCATCTGGTTTAATAATGTGGAGACAGAGTAAAATGCCCCAGTCATAATACCTGCAGTACCAAGAAAAAAGCTTCAGTCATCCCAGGTGCAACCATGCTGATTTGTTACCCTAAAGAATTCATCTTCTGACATTTAACCTTTTATGTGCCAGGTGAAATCTCTTCACTGGACCTATAAGTGATATTTTGCATCCTTACAGATTTTCCAGAACTGGCACCTGAGTAAATAAAAGTTTGACACCCCCTCCCCCATTAAAAAAAAAAACACAATTAAAATTCTATGTGCTTCTGGCCCACCTTTGAACCCTTCTGCCAGACTACAAGCAGATAGCACCACTTACCATAACTGATTAGCAAAAGTATAAATGGAATATTTTTGAACAAGTTAATAATGGACTGCTTGTAGGAGTAATCCTCAGGAGGTTTATTTTGCAGGACTGCTTGAGAGTGACTGGGAGGATATTTGGGCTTTTCCTCAAACACTGGGGAAAAAGAAGAAGGAACAATTTTTGATTCATCTCTACCAAACTAATGTGCTGCTTTTTTTTTTTGCCTTTTTTTTTTTTTTTTAAGTGTTTCAGCTTGATGAATTTCAGAAGAGTGACTTGTAGTTTTAACAACTGCATGGAAAAAAAAATTCTAGATTTTCTCATGGAAGAACTGAGTCACATCCACAAAGGATGTGTTATCTGGTCACATCTGATTGCTACCAAAATAGGGTCAAAGACAGCCTTCATCTGCAATATGTCAAGACCTTTGTATATAAATTGTAAGATTAACAGAGTGAATTCACATTATATCATAAGTCCTTCCAGCAAAGAAATGAAGAGAACTAAATATTCTGAAAGAAATCACCCCATGTGAAGAACAACACAGAGGGAAACGGCTGTTGCTTAACCCTGGCACAACAGGTAAGTGAACACAAACTGGAAAAATTCTAACCTCAACTACTTTGAGCAGTCAGCTGCTTTAAGTGAGACATTGTAAACACCCCCGGTAGCCAGCATGTCAATTCTAGTAATTTAAACACTTACCAACTCCTGCTAAGAAGAACAAAAGTGTGGACACTATCGCTGTTCCGTAGAACATGATGCTGATGTTATGTGCCATAAGATCAATATCATTCGGTGTATTTGGGACCAAAACAGGTGGCAATAAAAAGCCAATTGCAGTACCAAGCTGTAAAGCAAGAAAAAAAAACCCAAAAATAATTTCCCTCTGAACATACAAATTAACAGAAATGAGAACTCTTACCAGGTAAATTCAGAATTGTTATCATAATAAGCATTAATAAAACTTTTGTATCACACTTCGGAGCCAGTTGCCCTCAATGTTGTTTTACAACCAGATCTTCCATAACTCAGGTTTAATCTTTTCACTTCTCAATTTAACTACAATACCACACTTAGTGTATATATTTACACTACACATAGTACTTATACAAGAATCTTCATACTTGTACAAGAATTTTTCACAGGAACTAGAAGTACCAGACATGAACATAAACTTGTATCAGTCATCCTGCAACTGAAGGGCTACAGATGACACAAGATTCCAGCTACTCTTGTAGAAATGTTCTTCATTTGATGTCATGCTCCTGCCACTACAGTAGCAAAGCCTGACTGCAAGGTTTACTGAACAAGACAGAACAGAGAAAAGGAATATCCTTATTACAAACTCAACAATTATTGCTGAGGAAATAAATAAAAATCACAGAATGAAGTTGTAGTGGGTTTGTGTGTGAAGTAAATTCCATCATAACAACTGATTTTATATTAAAGAGACATAAAACAGGAACTGAAATTTTGGGTATACATATAAAGCATTTTAAAATACGAAGGAACAACTCCTGGACTATTCTCCAATTTCTCTCTTCTGCTCCCCTGAAACTTAATGGCATTTTCAAGCATTGGAACATTTATTTTAGGTAATATTAAACTTAAAAATAGCACCAAAGGCTGTTATGAGTAGCAAGCCCAACAATCTGCATGCACATCAGAGGTGTGCCACTGTGCTTACAAAGCACCCTCTGTGCATACCCTGATGAGGAGTTTGCTACCTTTTTTCACCCAGGCCATCATATTGACACAGTATCCAGTGGTCACAGGAGGAATTTGTCTCCTTTGGCCCTCACCCTTCAGTATACGAACCGTACAAACATGAACTGAGCACACAGTTACTTTTTGTCTTTAGGTATAATTTTTTCCTCCCCCAACAGGAGCCAATGCAGTATCCACGCTGTTCCAACAAAGTCGAGTGATATCATTTTCCACCACTTACATCTAGAGAGGTTAAGACCAGAAAGAAGAAAGTGTTCCAATCAGTTTGGTGTGCCTCATTTAAGATGCTAAATACTTGTGGAGATCTGGCAGTCCCAAAAACCCTTGACAGGTACATTGCTGCATTCCCAGTGATTTGTGTTCCAGTTGCATCCCAAAGAAGTGAGATGTAATTTTTGATAACTGCTCTCTCTGTTCCTCCCCTGCCTGCTGTCCTGGCGTTCCCTGTAGCTCTGAAGTTTCACAGAGTATCTGATAAGCAATTGGATGACCAACAGCTGGGTGGGTTATGGCAACCTGCTCTCTTCCATAGTTGACATTGTGCAATTAGCCAGTACAGTGAGTGGGTTACAGCAACGTGTTGTGTTACACAGTTCACATTGTGCAATTATCAGCACGGTGAGACCCAACGGGAATGCGTGTGCAGAAGGGAACTGCAACGGGACACACGGACATTACTTCTAACTTCCAAGTGCCTAACTTCTTACTGCTCTTTCAATCCAGCTTTTGAGAGTTTTTAGGGTTTTTTTTTTAAGGAAGTAAAACATGAGAATAGAGAAATTCTGTTGTTCTATTGACACAGTACCAGCAAGCACTTCAGCAGGCACACTGAGATCAGTCCTTATCAAAGCAGTGACCCATGTTGCAGAAGGCTGAATAAATTGGTTTTATTAAGCTAAATTATATTACATTAATACTATACTACACTAGAACTATGTAATATTAAAAGGATACTAAAGAAAAACCTGTGACTGTCTCCAGGTTTGACCCAACTGGCCAATCAATCCAAACAGCCATCACCAGTGTACAACTAACAAATCACTCTTCAGTAAATAATCTCCATGACACATTCCACATGTGCCAAACAACAGGAGCAGTGAATACAGATAAGAATGGTTTTCTTCTTTCTCTGAGCTTTTGCACTGCATCTCCCATATTCCCAGGAAAATTACTGGGAGAGAGAATCATGTCCCTCTCTGTTCAGAGAATGTGAATACCACAAATCCTAGCTTCTGGAGGGGAATTCACTCCAGAAATATCCACATCCTGATCCTGTTTCCCTTGTCCAATCTTCTCATGGTTCCCATCCACACAATCCCTGCTCTCCTGCTCCTGTTCTGCACCACTTCAACCCCACATCTCAGCATCCAGGTGAAGTGTCACTTTCAGGCTCCAAGCTGGATACTTGACACTGCTTCAGAACTGAAAACTCAGTAACTCCTTGCTATTGGGAGGCCTGGTGCATGTCAGGAAGAGGGGAAATATAGTCACCAAAGAAACCTTTAACCTCATACCAGGATGCAGATCCAAAATTTTTGCCTCACTGCTGAAACAACCAACAATTTTTAAAATCCTCAGTCCAAAAGGGACAGTTGATTTGTCCACTGAAATCCTTTGATGGGGAAAAAAAAAAAAAAAAAAAAAAAAAAGGCATTTTGGAAGAACTGCAAACAGCCAGGTATCAGCTAATGAGGAATCAGTGAGGCTTAGTACACCCTAATTGTAAATACTTAATATTAATGTCACTACTGTCATAATCCAAAGTGCACAAACATGAAATCATTGGACTCACATGATAAAAAATAAATTCCCCATTATCTTAACAAAACTCTACCTATGACCTCAGCCTGCATCAGCGATGCTGATCTGAATCTTAGCAATTTTTGCCACTGCAGGAGAAAAAAAAAAAAAAGCTGTGACAGTGGCAGGAGGTGAGAATTAGGCTATAGGAGGAAAAAGCATCATACCTGCACCTGTGTTTTCAGATGCACCTGTTCCAGCTCTCTGAAACTGGCCAGGACCAGGGAGCTTGAGGAAATCCGTGACTCAGTTATCAGCTCCCAACAGTGATGTGAACTATCACAGGGTTACACAAAACTTCAGGAGTCACCAGGGTATTGACTACTGGCACCTGGCAATTAGAGGCCATATTTTAAAAAGCAGAAACCAATATACGTTGTCGCTGGGGCTCTTCATGAAAGTTCACGTAGTACAACACCATCCGGGGGTGGATTCATTCAAAATGCAAGAGAAAGAGGAAGCGAAGCAGGACCACTTCAGAAAAGGTCTCGACTGATGTAGGGCCGGCAGCTGCTGGAGCGTGTGGGCTGCCACACAGCCCGGCCCCTGCACAGCCGCGCTTCCCCACCTGGCCACTCTCCCAGCACCACACCCTGGAGAAAAAGCCTTTTCCCACTCAAGCATCTGGTTTTTAACTGGATGCCGAACTCTAAGGAAACCCACCTCTCCCAAGACCCCCTCGCTCCCCTGCCGCCCTACCTGGTTGCCCAGCACGGCCACGGCGCAGGCGGTGGAGACCTCGGTGGGGCCGAACCAGACGGAGGCGATGCGGGAGGGCAGCCCCAGGATGAAGACCTGGGCGACGGCGCAGACGGCCTGGGCGGCCAGGGTGAGCGGGTAGCGCTGGGGGGCCAGGCTGCCGCACTTGAGCCAGGCGCCCACCGCGTTCAGCCCCGCGCCCAGCAGCGCCGTGAGCCGCAGCCCGCGGGCGTCCAGCAGCCAGGTGGCCGGCAGGATCAGCGGCACGTAGGCCACCATGTACACCATGGACAGCCAGTCGATCTGCGTGAAGGAGACGCCGTAGAAGCCGGCGAAGACGTTGCTGAGGATGCTGTACTGGATCCACTGGAAGGCGTTCACCAGCGAGTAGCAGCTGAACACGGCCAGCACCGCCAGCCGCCGCCGCGACAGCCGCGTCTCCGGCCGCGCCTCCGGCCGCACGCCGCCCGCCGACAGCATCTCCTCGGCCTCCGGGGCCGCCCGCTGCCCGCCGCCCGCCGGGGCCGCCTCCTTGCCGGGCAGGAAGCCATTGCAGCGCTGCAGCGGGGCCGCCGGCGGCTCCCCGCTCTCCCCCTCCGCCTCCTCCTCGCCGCCGTCCTCCACCATCTCGGCCGTCTCCCCACCCAGCTTCCCCGCTGCCGGCGGGCGCAGCCCGGCTCTGCCTGCCAAGGTCACCTGGCTGCGGCTCCGCTCGCCGCCGCCCCGCCCCGGGGCCGGGCCCGGAGCCGAGCCCGGCGGGCGGAGCGGGAGGCGGCCCGGGAGGCGGCCCCGGGGCGGGCGGGTCCCGCCGGAGCCCGCGGTGGGCGCGGCTGCGGGCCGGGCTGCCGGGAGCGTGTGCGTGGGGATGTACGCAGAGATAGAGATGGAGGCAGTTGTTTTGTTCACGCTTCTGCTTCCGTTTTCTTTGTCCGTCTTCCTCGTGGTTCCGTATCTTCGCACAATCCCTTCACTCCTGCTCCTGTCCTGCTCCTCTTCAGTCCTCACATCCCAACATCTGAGTGATGTATGTGCACACACGCACAGAGACTCACACTTCTTTAAGTCTTATAAGTTGAACACACACACAGAGACTCACACTTCTTTAAGTCTTTTAAACTGAACACACACACAGAGACTCACACTTCTTTAAGTCTTTTAAATTGAACTCACACACAGAGACTCACACTTCTTTAAGTCTATTAAATTGAACACACACACAGAGACTCACACTTCTTTAAGTCTTTTAAATTGAACACACACACAGAGACTCACACTTCTTTAAGTCTTATAAATTGAACATACGCACAGAGATTCACACTTCTTTAAGTCTTTTAAATTGAACACACACAGAGAGACTCACACTTCTTTAAGTCTTTTAAATTGAACTTACAAGTCGCACCCTCGCTGTGTGACTTTTGCTGGCTTCATGAGAACGACAGGGTGATAGTAATGATGTAAATAATCCCCACAATATCTCCAAGGAAAGAGCAGTGTCGCCTCATTCCTGTAACCTTTCTGGTGGCAGGTGTGTCCACCCAGGCAAGGTTGGGTGGGCACAGACTGGTGCTTTGTGGCTCACCCCTCACCCCCCCTCCTCGGCACAGGCAGGGCACCTCGGCTGCTGCACCACCTGTGCAGGGACACATAGGCCACACCACTTCCAGCACATTCTGAGAAAATCCAGGGCCTTCCCCTGCCATATTAAGATTTCTCTCTTTGTGGTGGTGATGCAGAGAAATGTACTGAAGTCATAAGAGACAGGTAGGCAGAGACAGAGGCCCAAATTGCAGCAGAGGGTGGCCAGTACAGTATATTATCAGGGCATGTGCATCCAGTCCTTCATTGCCTCCAGAGCCGCAGGCAAAACATTCCTTGTTTCCACTCAACCTCTGAAATTTGATTTGACACATACCCCAGAAAACTGACTGTCTGTCTCATGTGCAGAGGTGGGTGGATATTCAGTGAGCAATCTTCTCCCAAACCCTGCACAGGTTCATGTCTGCACAGGAGCAGTGTCTGGCAGCCCCTGTCAAAGTTGGTAATTCTGCTCTGCAGACAGTATCCCCTAATAAAAAGACAGATTGTTCTCCAAAGCATAATAAGAAAATACAGAAATACTTAAGTTTGCTAGCAATGTTAATAGTATTTTACTGGTTTCTGTGGGAAATTGTTTGGAATGTGTTCAGAAATAACACACTGTACATTGTTCATGGGTATGTCAGAGCCTAATCAGATCTGTCTGGGCTGTGGATACACTCAGCCACCAGTCTTAAGTACCCTCACTAATTAAGAGTTGGTATTTTACTCAAGACCAGTTGACCTATGTAAGCCACTGTTCCTGATCTTATTTACAATATGGATAATAATATGGACATGTGCTTCAAACTATTAATTTGGCTATGTTTGCTTTCCCTGAGCACTTAGCTGAGCAACAGTAGCGATGCTTGCAGGCACCATGGAATTTTAGATACTACTGCAAGTAGTCCTGAATTTGCAGGTAAGAGGTGTGTGCAAGAAATCTGCTTTTTAAAAATAAAGTTACCATTTAACATTTTTTCCCCTCGAAATTTGGGTGATCTCAAAGTCCATCCAAAGACAGCATTTACTCCTTAAAACCAGATGAAAATAGGCTCTGTTCTCCCATTCTTTCTTTCCCTACTTACAGCAGGCAGAGGACGGTTCAAACTCATCCTGTGCTAAGAATGGCTGGCACATCTTGGGTTTCAGCGCTGCCCTGGCCGCAGAGCATCATTTGTGAGGACTCCGAGAAGGAGGTTTCTTCCAAAAAGAAGCAAATTTATTTACAGCAGATCGACACAGAGCAAATCCACCTTGCTACGCTGCACTGGTCTCAGTAAAATCAAACCTGTTTGGTTCTGATGAGGTACAACCAATGTGTTTGCATCCTGGGGACATTTCTCTGCAGAAACACCTTCCTAAAAAAGAAAGGAAAACCAAATTTACAAAATCATGGCGAAGCTTTGGTATTTCTCTCCTGCTGTATTTCGCAGGCTTTGTGAGCATTACTTCTGATTTATAGCCATTTGTTCAAAAAGCAGGGCCAAGGGCAAAGTTACCCAGCAAGAGAAAGTTACCCCAGGAGAAACATCCATTGTAGCAGTTCATTTAAAATGTGAGTCCCTGGATTTCTACATTTAATGGATAACTTCTAAAGCTAAAAACAGAACACTGATATCAAGATTTACAGCATAGTTTAGCTCAAAATTGCTATCTGTTTTAAATTTACCCTCTAGCTGAAAATTTAGGCTCTCCTGAATACTCCTCTTGGTGATAGAGCTAGATATACCCAAGCATTAACAAATTTATTTTCCTGAATGCTGTGAAAAGGCCAAAATACTTCTTATGTATCAGACAGTCACTGGGAAGTAAATTATACAAATTTACTCCACAAAAAATTTTTTTCTTGTATCCAAATTCCACAAGTCAGGCAAGGACCTAACACTTAAATTTTATTTTTGGTCTGGAAAAGGTTAAAAAGCAATTAGAAATGCCAAATCCTTACTTGCAGCAGGGCTGTTTCTTCTGTAACATTTGTGCCATTGAAAGAAGTGTGTGTCTTCACAATTATTTTGAAACTAAAAATTAATCTTGTGGGTACTGCATCTTTGTAAATAAATGGCTCAGAAGGATCCTTTTTGTTTCAATCCAGGGTATTTCACAAAATACAGGAAATTCAGCTGTAGAGTGTTGCTTTCAGGGTGTTCTTAGCTTTTGGACACCCCTAGCTGGGTTATCTCAGTCATATCAATTCCTAGGTATGTCCTCCTTCCAAACCTCAAAATGGAATCTAATCCCCCCGTAAAAACCCCACAAGTCAATCCATTTTTGGAAAACAGGAGGCCTAGGTTAGAAGTCTGAAATGGAAATTGTGGACTCTTGCCAAAATTATAGCAATTCTAAAACAACCCTAGAAATTTTGTGTACATCAGACACACATTTAAGACTTCCACATCTTCTGGCTTTAATGTTTCAAACCATGTATCTCAGTCTGCAAGGAAAAAACCAATTAAGCTATTTTACAATGCATTTATCTCTTGGTTATGATTTTCAGTGCAAAATCTCTCCATGCAGAGAAATCCTACATGACAGGAGTGCACCAGGTCCTTGTCTCCCAGATGAGTTGTTTAAAAAAAGAAAACCACAGCAGCTCAAGAAAGGGATCTCAGAACAAAAGATCTGAAGTTCCAACTGGGCTAGAAATGAACTATTTTAACTAGATATTAAACAAACCTCAATAAGCTGGACTTGAAATAAAGTAGTTGGAGAGTCACACGCCTAAATATCTTGATGCAAAGCTCAGAGAGAATACAGGGGAAAATGTAAACATCCTTTTCCTCCTATGCAGTCCTCATTCCAGCTACATTTGCCCAGTCTCCTCACAAGATAAAGCCAGAACCCTCAACTGAAGAAAAAGCATTTTCAACTCAAGGCACTTGTCTGAAATTTGTTTGTAGCTCCAGGAATTTGCCTGGCCAGCCAGTTTGGGAATATGACTGCCCACAGTAAGCATGTTTGCCAATGACTTGGGTTCAGTTTTTGATGTACTGACAAGAATATATAAGTGCACCCTTAAGTATCAGAGAAAAGTTCTGGATTTTAAAGTATGGGTAATTAACTTCTGTACTGTAAACAACAGAAATTTGTGTTCCTGGGTGTCCCAGTCCATACAAAAGATGCAGAAATGTACATCTGGTACATCTGCTTGGCTGCCATCTGCTTTTCTTTTTGTAGCTAGCTATCAATTTAATATATGTGATGGAATTTTACCCTGAGTTTCCTACCAAAGCACGCAGGGGAAAAATTACAGACAGAAAATAAATTTTTAATTAAAAAAAAATCATGTCAACAAATAAAGTTGGCAAAATTTAATGGGTTCTTATTCTCCAAGATTAATAAGCTCTTCATATATTACAAAAAATGTAACTTCTATCTGAATCCTTTATGCAGAAAAGTGTATATACCCACAAAAAATAGTAAAAAAATCCATGATCTGTAGAAGGGTTGTCTTAGATGAGCATTCCTTTTTTTGATCAGCACTCGTTCAGTGGAAGGTTTTTAAATTTGGGGAAAGGCTTGGAGACATTTTCAGTGTTACATCACAGATTCCCTCCACTGATACACCAGCAATGTGCTGTCAGGCAATCCTGATGTTTTGTGTTCATTTCCTTAATAAAAGATAACCAAAAAGCTGACAAGTGACATCAGCCTGGACCATTGGAGAGCTGTGGAACAGGAGGGATTGGAGAAGCTGTGCAGATGCAGCCAGATGCATCTCTGTGTGTTCATCCCATCCCAAACAGCACACCTGGGAGATGTGGCAGGATTCCACTAACACGCTCCACTTAGCCCCTCAGCTTACAAGAATTCAGTCATGTGGGAGTTTTCTCTGTTGGCTGCAGCAGGACCACAAGTGACAAAGTCAGAGGCAGCCTGCTGTGGATGGAGAATGTCCACTGAGAGCTCCTGCTCCCTGCCCATCTCCCATAGGAATGCTGAGCAATCAGCTGGTGAAACCACTTTTCAGAACAACAACGATAAAATCTTCACTTCTAGGATGTTACAAAAAAAAGAGCACTATGCTCTTGAAAAAACATGGTGCAACCCTCCCTCACTACCTGATTCATTACACTTTACCTGCCCAGTCCATGCATACAGATCCTTTGAAAATTAAATGGAAGTGCCATATGATTTTGGAGCCCCTAAGAGCCTGATATGCATTTTAGAGACAGATTGCTCACCCAAGCATGAGAAACATTGCTACTTTTACTGTTGAGGAAAACCAAATATTTAGTAACAGCTTGAAGTTCCCAGTTTCTCTCTGAAGAGGTTATCAGCAGGAAGAGAGCCTTTAAATGTCTACATACATTTGATGGGGAAGATGCTGGCTGACCTCAGCTTAACTAAAAATCAGCAGGATTTTTATTTTTTTGTTTAGACTGAGTAACAATAAAAGATTCCTGCCCAAGACCCTGGCTGTGAGAGTACATTATGGAAAATGTATTGACATTCCAGCAATGTTAATCATTTTAACAGGAAGTCAGACAGACAGACAGACACCAGGGACTCTCCCTGTTGGAGCTCCTGTGTTGGGAAAGCACTCCAAGTGTTCTCCAGAGACCTTTTTGCACAGTAGTCCTTTGCATCACAGCTGTGAGATATAAACTATTTCAGATTAGCTGCAAACCCTGAATCTTACACAGAAAATTCCCTCTTTTATTGTCAGAGGAGACAAACTCAGTGCCCATATCTACCAATGGGCAGTGGGTAGCTCTTGTGCCAGGACTACCCTAGAGCACGTTGAACTTTTTGCATGTGGAGGACAGCATCTACTCCATCCAGATGTTTAGAGAGCCTGGCCTTCTGCTCCCACCTCCAGCCTGCACACAGACCAGCTCAGCACCACACCCAGCTCCTGGTGGCACCACAGGAGATGGAGAGCACTTGGCACCTCCAGCAGTCACCCAGCTCCTGACATGCCTGAGGTGGTCACAGATACATCCATCGGTGTGTTTCACTGGAGCAGCAGTCATGGTATCAGCCCAACAGCTGAATTGTCCACCTAAAAACAATTTCTCTGTCTTGTGAGTACCCTGTGGCTCTTAAATACAGGATGATGGAATTTATTTTGGAAAAGACTTTTAAAATCATCAAGTCCAACTGTTAACTCAGCACTGCCAAGTCCATCACTAAACCATATCCCTTAGTGCCACATCTACACATCTTTTAAATACCTCCAGGATGGTGACTCCAGCACTTCTCTGAGCTGGAGTCAGAGTTTTTGAGTTCCAACACTCAAAAAGTCTTTCAGTGAAAAAGTTTTTCTTAATATCCAATCTAAACCTCCCCTCATGCAACTTGAGGCCATTTATTCTTATCTGCACCAGCACAGCCAGGGCAATAAACATGAGAGAACAGCCCATGAGAAGCAGTCTCACTATAGCAATCCATACAGTAACATGCAAAATATGTCCCAGCTCTGCCAGAATGGCATTCAGACTGTTTAAGCCTTTGGAGATAATCCTATATTTCCACTGAACTGCAAACACAAGGTGAACAGAGTGTTTGTGTCCCTTAAGACCTCAGACAGTACCAACAGTTCATAGCTTTTAGAAACCTTAGGAGGGGAATGAAGTGGAAATAACTTGGGTCCTGGGAATTACTGTGCTTTGAGTGCTCTCTCCTCCCTGCTGGCTGTACAACAGCCTCAGGACATGTGCACTGGGCAAAGGTGATGTTGGATGCCAGAAGGCAGACTCACAGAGCTGCTGAGAGACACAGGGCAGTTTCACATGCTGGTGAGAGACCATCACAGCCATGAGCTGGCTGGCAGCTTCAGAGTAGAGTGCTCAGAGACATCCCTGCATCCTCCTAAGTGAAGGGACAGGGAGAGCTCTGATTGCTTCCCTTTACTTAGGCAGATTTGGCAGTCTTGGTGATGCTCCTGTCAGCTCAGCTGCTGCCAGGATAAATGTCAGTCCTGGAAGCAAAAGGTCTCCTTCCCTTTCCTTAGACCAGAGGGAGGTGGTAGAGCAGCCAGAGCCTGGGGCAAGAAGAGAGCTGCATGATGTGGGATGGATGGATGGATGGATGGATGGATGGATGGATGGATGGATGGATGGTGGTGAAGGTGGAGTTCCCACTGCTCCCTGACAAGGAGTGGGCTTGGGAGAGGTTGCATTTTTTTTTAGGAACTGAAGATACCTAAATGTTTGTGAAATTTTATTTACAAACACCAAACCATTTCACTGAGAATATCACACTGAGTTTTCCCTTTAGAAGTGTGATAATGTTCATTTTTATCTGGGGAATACTGAAAAATAAATGTGCCTCTAGTTTCAAGATGGGCAGGTTTTTTTCAAAACAACAACCTATAGGAGACTTAGCTTCAAACTGCTATGTGACTTCTCTTTCTCATTTTTTTTCCCAAAATAAAAAAATCCCAGTGTCTCACTATCACTCCAAAGGGAAACATAGGCATTGATATGTTTCATGGCAGCCACAGCCAATTCCTCATCCCTGCTAGTATTACTTTTCCTTTTACATTGATTCAGATACTGAAAAATTATATTTGGAATAGGGAGCAAAAGGTGAAGGCTCATGCAATCCAATTATAACCCTGCTGAAATAACATCCAGAAACTCTGCAAGGACAACCTGATCAAGCCTTGTAATGGCAAGAGGGAAAAATATAATAACAAGAGGAATATTAAAATAATAACCAACTTGTTCCTTTTCTAGGATGACAGACTGTGTCCCAGCAAAGTTATGGAGCAGCATGTCCTGAACATCCACAGTGTACATATGAAAGTCAGGGAGATGGGATCACGCTGCAGAATTGAGCAGTCCAAACCCCGTGTCTCAAATTTTCTTACAGCAGGATGAGAGAGCTCCAAGACTTTAAGCAGTACTACAGCCACTGAAAAATGCAGAATTGGATCTGTTAACTCTGCCCTCCATATGGTGTAATGGCTGCTGAGATTCCCTCGGCCCACTGGCAGGTAGGCAAGGACCACCAAATTAACTTACCAGTCACCAGAGGACTGGTAATGGGCACATTTTTCAGTTAGCACCTTCTTGTTCCAAAATGGGACTTGCAAATACAGGAAAAGTCTTTGCTGCCATTGCTCATCTGCCTTTTTTCCAGGTCTATGGCACTTTTTCTGTCCTATTTCCTTCTGTCATGTTTTATTTTAATGTATTGGTTTTTAATGAGTGGAAAGGATGACTTTCCCCCCATTAGATGAGTAAAATTTGGCATATACATACCTGCTTACAATAGTCCACAGGTAGAAAAAATACCTCACAAAATCATACTTCCTTCCATAATTTAAAAAAATCCACTGTACTGGATAATGCTGTGACAGTGTCTGTTTTGCTCCACTACCTTCACCACTCCTCCCCCAAAGTTAGAGTGCTTTCCTTGGTCTTTGTTTCACTAATTTTCAGGTGTATTTTGGGATACCTTGTGTTACTAGGTCTGTACTAACCAGCACCCCTTAGCCTCTGAGACGAAGAGCCATAAAAAAAAAGTCTCCTTTGGGAGAACATTGAGGAAAAGGCTAGGAAGCCTGCCACATACTCATCAGAGGCACAGCTGGAAAGGAGCAGTTGTCCAGTTTGCTTTTGGCAGACACCATGCTCCTAGATGTAAGTGCTCACATGGTTATCTTTTAATCTTAAACCACTGAACACTTAGATAACCTTCAAAAGAATCATTAGTGCTCTTTAGGGGATGCCTGTGGAGCTGTGATGCAGGAAACAGATGTTGAGCCTAGTTAAAGACCCACGTACAAAGGAGACACTCTGAAAGGCTCTGACTCCTACAGGCAAGCCCAGTTGTTTTGCTGTGCCAGCTGCTGCACAAGGGCTCTCTGCTGCTCCTCACATTGCTGAGGCATGGACACAATCCATGGAGTGAAGTCCAGCCCAATCCACACAAAAAGTCATTTGAAACTTCATGAAATGTGATGCACTTCAAAATGGGGGGATCTAATGCCTTTGCTAGCTTCATTTTCTCAGGAGAGTGGCAGAAGCTTTTATCAAAGAAGAAACAGAGCAGAAGACAGCATCCTTCAAAAGACAGCAAACCTTGAAATGTAGTGACATCTAAATAATAAAAATCAAGAAAATGTGATAACAGCTACAAAAAGACTTTTGGCACAGAATAAAGTAGCTTCAGTAGCTTCCCTGCAATGTCTTCATTGCAGGAAGCCAGCATTTCAGACATCTTTCAAAATGCTCCCCTTGTGGGATTATGCCATTTTCATTTTACTCCTGCATGGTTGTTTAGCCAAGAAAATGAAATTTTGGGGTTTAATCTTAACTCATTTCATATCAATCCATGCAGAGGAGTGGAAGCAGTCAGAGGTTACAATGAGGTAGCTTCAGACAGTTTCCACATAGCCAAATCAAGCACCCTCTGGTGCTGCAGAAATCAGAGCACATTACTTCACCAATGGCCACCAGCTTTATCTCTGTGTTTCTTGAAGAGCAGGACAGATTCCATGGTGTAATAAACCAGCTGAGCCATGGCAAACAAAGCCACAATACAAAACTGTATTATTGTACAACTTGAAAAGCAGACCATGCAAATTACTGTCCAGGACAGAGACTACCAGTCTTCTGTGCTGCTGACAGCTTCTAAATAACCTAATTACTCAGCCCTTTAAGAACAAAATTAAAAGATAGATTCAGAGGGGGTTGGAGGAATGTTAGTCTAGGTAATACCACTAGTGAGCAAAGAAAGGCCCCATTCTTCATCAGTTGGCTGAACTGAGCCTCATCTTTTAAGTGCTGAGAAACCTCTGAGAAATCTTTTAAAAGGTCTCTGGCAGCTGGTCCCAAGTGGTGTCCTTTCCAGAGGAAAGGCTGTTGTCAATGCCAGGGAGCAGGTATTGCTGAACCACCCTTCCAGACCAGTCCCACTGCCTTTTCAGCCAAGTCCTTCATCAGTTTGGGCTATTGTGCTGGTTTGGGCTGAGGTTGAGTTAACTTTCCTCAAAGTGCCTGGTACAGGGCTGTTTTGGATTTACTTTCTGCACAGAACTGTAAATAAATCAAATACCTCGACTCTGTGTGTGGATTGGCTTCTTGCACACCCTGTGAAATAAAGTGAAAGAAACTATTTTGGAGCAACAACAGCAGCCTAGATGTGCTGGTCAAGAAATGCCATCTTTGGATAAATGTCACGCATGTGGGTTGTCAGGGGATGTGCTGCACTCACTAGGAGGACAGGAGGGATTCTTTTGGACAGTGCTGACATCTGTTTGTGCACATTATACACCACATTAGCCCACTGCACTCACCTTTGCTTCAACTCAGCACAGAGGTCCTGTGTAGTTGAGAGCTGAGTTTCCACCCTGACTTTTCCAGGCAGGAATAATGAGCCCCTAGAGAAACGGGAAATTAGCAGGTGATGTTGAGATTGGAACTCCCCACATGGTGATCCATTTAACTTGTTCCCACAGCACTCCATTTGTTTGCTTCCTTGCCCTTTGTTGTGTGTCCAGAAGCGATCTGAGCACAAAAACACTCTATATGGTTATAACAATAAAGCCAGTGCCAATCAGCACTTCAAAGCTGCCCTCTCCAGGCAGTGCACTTCACAAAGACAGACCTTCCTGCTAGATAAACCCAGGTCCATTCCACAGGTTCACCTATAACTCATAGGCTGAGCAGACCTAGGAGGCTCCAAGCAACAGGTCCAATTCCACCCAGGAGATGCAGAATCCCATGTACACATCTTTCTATGGAATTCAATTAACATGGTCATGCTGCCCCTTAGTCAACATTCACAGCTCTGAGGTTTTGACAATGGTCAACAAAATCTGGCAGAGACAAATCTCTTGGAGGTACAAAGTCCCTAGAAGGTCTGTGGGAGTTTGTGGACAGATAGATGACACTGTCTCCATTCCCTCTCAAGGCCACCAAGAGGAGTCACACACCCAGCTGCTGAGTCTGATGCCAGCAGCTATCTACATGATCCACCCAGACTAACCTTGCCTAAATGGCAATCCAACAGGCTTGGGGGGCACCATGGAAGAGAGACAGGGAATTATAGGGAGGTCACAGGGACACAGAAGAAAGCCAAGGCACTGTGATAGGCAGAACCCAGAAGGTACATGGAGGAGCTGGTGGTACCATGACAGAGATCAGGGAGGCATACTGGGAGCTGGAAATGCAGCACTGGGATTGTTGGGCTCTAATGGAAGCATCACAGGGCATAGGTAGGAGATTGGGATTGCTGTAGTGAGGAGATCATAAATCCCTGGGGGAAAAAGGATTATTGGTTGTGCTGCTTGTGAAACAGCTTCAATCAATTGCTTTATGTACTTTAAGATGTGATTGGGCACCAACAATGAACACAGCACCCATTTGCGGTCTTGGGTGATGAAGCACACAGCCCTGGCACAGCCAAAAGAGCAGATGCAAAGTCCATGTGGGAACACTAAACAAGTTAAACCCAGTGTCCCCACTCTGCTGCAGAAATACAAAATATATGAGGGCACCTCACCTGGACTGTGGCGCTGCCCATCTGCTGTGCTCCAAATGGGATGAAGCCCACCACACACACGATGGAGTCTGGATACCTCAGGGGGGCTGAGGGGGCAGGGACATGTCAGCAGCTATTCCCTGGCAGCCAGGTGCAGCAAGTGCAGGCAGCCACGGGGAGCTGGCAGCAGATGGGGAGGAGAAAGGACAGCGGCCACGGGATGGGCTCTGCTGCTGCTTGTCGGAATCTGTGGGTATTGGTGATTCCGAGGTTGTAGAAAGTCTCTGTCTTGCAGCCCCGCTGCCAAAGAAGGAGCCATAATTCGTCTGTGCTGGTTTCAAGGTTGTTTATTCTGTTTATTTCTAACATGTTCTGCTGCCCTGCCGCAGCTCTGTCCTGCAGGGCAGCGTGTGGGGCTCTGTCCCTCAGTGGGATGGTACAAACATTATATACCAGAAACTACCTGTGCTATATTTACAATAATGTGCCAATATCTGTCACCTACGTTGAACAGTGTGTCCCCAGCCTAAACCAATAGAAAAATGCCAACACTACAGTGAAACATGGAGAGCATGAAGAAGGAGGAAAAGGACAAGACACACCCAATTCCTCCATCTTGTCCCCTCTGAACCCCTAATCTAGAAACTTAAAATTTTACTTTTGCACCCATGCCACACTTAACTATTACTCTTATCAAACACTCAAAGCTTGTAATTCATCCTGTAAGATTGAAAACTCCTCTCCATGGACAGAGATCACAGACAGTGTCTCTTGGGGCTCTGTCCAGGGGGGTTCCTGACCCCTGCCAGGGTCCCAGACCTGCCAGGTCAGCCAGAGGGAAGCCCTGGATTCCCACAGCTGCTCAGCACCAAGGGCTGGGTGAGAGGCACCGAGCAGGGCGGGGAGCACGGAGAGCTCTCCCTGCACTGCAGGCAGCCTTTACCAGCCAGCCCAGGCACAGCCCCAGCCCGTCTGCCCGCTGATATGTGGGGCAGCGGGGCCTCAATCACACCGCCCATACTGTCACTTTGCCATGTCTCGCCCACTGCATTTCCAGAACAGGAGGATGTGGCCCTGCTTCCCCGCAGGTCGCTGCTGCTTCGTGGGCATTCAGGCAGCTGTACTCACCCTTCTTCAGGCAGCTGAAAGTTTGCTCAGCCTCAACACAGCCGGGGCTCTGCCGTGGCAGGATGGGCTCATCTGAGTCCCTGCCCACAAGCACCGCACAGCCGCCTCACCTGCCCTCGGAGGCAGGGTACAAGGCAGAGTACCTCACCCAGACACTGCTGACAAAACCCATATGTTTTGATTCTGCCAGTTTGGTTGGACATCAGATACTCTCCTCCAGACTCCTTATCCTCAGTGCCACGCCTCAGAGGCACTCCAGTGCCTCATCATTTCTGCTTTCTCAGGGGAACCTCACCCCTGTTTTCATCAGCACGCCTGAGCAGGCTAGTGGCACTGATCTCCTGTGCTTGCACCAAGCAGCATCTCTCTGAGCACAGCACTAAGCATTTGGGGAGATGGGTATCAGATCCTGCCCCAGGGTTCACCAGGACCATGATCCTCACTATGGTTTCTCATTGTTTTGTCATTCACAGGAGCTCAAAGCAGCATAAAAATCCACCGGCTCCTGGAGGAGGCACTTGGCACTCACAGCATGGTGGGGCCACCACCCAGTGCACTCAGGGTTTACATGCCCATGCCCCAAGAGATTCACACTGATAGGAAAGCCAACCCCAGCAGGGAAAATGAACAGATGGATAACCACCTGCTGAAGAGGAAAATGTGGAGACAAATGGGTGCTATGGCAATTCATATCCTTTCTTTGATCTCAGCAGTACCTTTGTACTGCATATAGAAAGCAAAGAGGAGAACAATAAAGATTTATGCTAAGCCAGTGACTCTCAAATTCACTTTCCTGCTCTGTAATGGGAACAGAGGGTTGAACCCCAGCCTGCATTAATGAAAAAACAAACAAAAGCAGAACTTCATAAGTGATGAAAGTTGCATTGCCAGCCATTTATTTATTTGCATTTGCCTCTTAAGACCCTATTGATGCATTGCATAGGAATCTGTTGGAAGCACCTCCAGTAAAAGTCTTTAGTCAATTTGTCTAACCCTTATCATGATAAACAGCAGGAATAAGCAGCATTTCATCCAGTTGGCCTCATTACCACCTCCTCACTTGCTCCCAGGTCAAATTCTGGAAAAATTCAGAGCACTTTGCCCCACAGTTCAGGAGATTCAGGCCCTGTTAATCTATGGCTAAAAATAAATTTCAGAAGACCCTGGGAGGGTGATCCACCAGCCCGCCAAAGACTATTTCAGTGAGAACAGATAGAGCCCTTTCTTGGTTTTTTGTCACTCCATGTACATCCTGCAAGGTAAAATGACATGGGGAGTCCTACAAAGTGCAACCAGATTCGCTGTTTGTAGCATCCCAAGGACAGCTGATGATTGAAGGTATGATGGAGATTGGGACCTACCACTTTCCACATTGCTGCAGACAATCTGTGCCATTCCTCTTTCTAAGACAGAGATCACCTAGGCTGTGTGTGACCTCCACAATTGATAGTATGGCTGAAAAGAAAATTTGGGTCACCACTAACTTTCCCAAAAACTAAATTGCATTGTATCCTTCCTCCAGTACATCTTTGTCTGCTTCAGTCTCCTGTGTTATGTAGAGGATGGTATGGTTTATCCAGACACCCCGAGAGGCTTGGAACAGGCTTCAGGACACACACTGATGTTGCTAAGGCCAACTTTTGTGGGGATGGAGGGCTTCACAGTGCGCAGCCATGCAGCTCCCCCAAAGCCATCCTGCCTTCCCCAGCCTCTCTAGGCCAGGTGTTAGCGTGGGAATGCAGGCAGAAATCCAAGCTTTCTGTTAAATCCCCCTTTTGAGGTAAGGTTACAGAATGACTGCTGAGGATCAGCAGTGTTTTCCAGCCCAGAAACTATGCTTCCTCCTCTCTGCACAGCAGTACCGCAGTCCTGAGCAAGCACCTTAAGGAGTTTCCTGTGCAGAGTAACAACTTTCTATCCAGTGCCCACTGCCCACCCCTAGCACTGACTGCAGGGACTGGGGCACAACGTGCACAGCCAAACCAGCAGCACTGGGAAAAGGGTGCTGCTTCTGACCCTTGTTATGTGTCAGGGATGCCAAGGCAGGGTGGGAGTGACACTGAATTTTCCTTTTCTGGAACTGCAGGTCACCTACTCCATGACTTAGCTGCGGCGCCGCAGGTCTAAGGAGAGGACAAAGCCGGTTTGTTTTGCCATGGGCCCCTGCCAGGCTGGCCCTGCCCATGGCTGTTGCAATGCCAGCTCTCCCCAGCCCAGGGGAAGCAACTCTGTGCCCCCTTCACCAGCCTCAACCACACTCCTACTGCTGCAGGGCCCAGGGATATGGGCTGCCCGCCCTCAGCAGTGCCCTGCCCACATGGGAGCTGCAGGATGGGAGGGTGTTGAAGGTTTCCGCCACAGCAAAAGGGATTCAAACACTCAGGAATCACCCTGCTGCAAGGCTAAGGCTGAACCAGAGTAATGCCACCCCACTCCAGAGACAGGGATTTTGAGGACATTACTTAATATTCCCCCTTCTTGCAAAATCAGTGTTTTCATCCAATGCTAAGGATTCCATAGAGAAAAATAATTAGGTCAAAACTCTGCAAACATTTGGATGCTGCCTGACTTCTTAGCCAGAGCATCTCCTCACATAATTGCATTTCCAAGCAATACTGGGAGACTTCCCAACGTGCAGGCAGCAAGAAGCACATGTAAGGCTGACTAGTATGTATCACACGTTTAGTATCTCCAATTACATTACTATTAATTAAGTGAATCACGCTAATATTCTGACTATTGCACACCTGTTCCCTAGCACCACCTGCAGGCAAACTCTGTCCTTTGACCCGTTTAGTGGAAATGGTGCCTACAAATCCCAGATAAGGAACAGCTCTAGCTCCTCTGGATCACACACTCAGCAGAGATCCAGGTGTTTGCTGCTCTAAATACAAGTTGTAGATACAAACTGTGCAGGTTTGGTTGTTTGCTGAAAGCTGTTTAGGAACACATGTTTAAACTCAATAAGCTACTTCTAGTCAAAAGGCAGAACAGCTGTTCTGATAAAGACAGCCAAAAAAAACCCCAAAAACCTGTTGACAAGGTGGTTTTAAAAAACTGAGAAAGACGAGGTGAAGGAAAACAAAACTTTAGGATGGGGCATCACTTACAGTGCAAGCTTTTGCCCATTCTCCCCTCTGAGGTGGTCATGAATTAAGTTAATGCTTGTGTATTTTCTTCATTGACCTGGCAAAACTCCCCATAGTGAGAGAAAACCTTAGTTTTCTAAGTTCTTAGCTTCTAATGGCCTTCCTTAGTGGCCCTCGGGACAGCTGAGTGCCATGTAAAACCCACCTCATTCAATTGCTGGTTTATAATCAATGAAGTTTTGATCAGTATTTCACAGACCCACATCCACACAGGTGCTGTGGGGGAGCACCAGATTCAGCTTTAGGACACTGGACAACATCTGAATCCACAGAGATCACCTCCAAGATATCACAAAACTGAGTTTGTCTCCCTTTCTCATCCTGTGTCTCCTGATACTGAGTGAATCCTTGAACTAAGAGCAAACTCAGGGTATTTTCTTTGAATGCAATTCAAAAAATAAAATATTTTAAGAATACAAGAAAATCCATCCTAGCAACTACTACTTTATACATGGGAAAAGGAGAGGAATAGAAGGGCTATAATTCTTTCCTTCCTTCAGAATTTTGAGAAGATGCTGCTTCTGCACCCCTCAGAGTCCAGTCAGTACCAAATATGGAGAGTGTGCATCCAGCTGGGTTCTCTCAAGGGCTCAGAAAGGGATGTGTAGTCTGCCAGTTGTAACAGGGGCTTTCTTATCATGACTGGGTCCACAGTTTGTGACTTTCAGTCAGCAGAAACAAGGAGTGAAGGGGACATCAAGCACTGTACAGGAGCAGCTGGCAAGCAGTCTGAGAAACTAAACTGACAATATTATGGTGCCCTTCTTTACAAATTATTTGCTCAGAGACATGAGAGATGCAAAGGAACAACGTGTCTTTATCGCATTCAAGAGATTATTACAGTGCACACCAAAGGTCTTTGAGAAATTCCCTATTTTCATCCTATCCAGCTATATAATACTCCTTGTTTCTTGAACTTCCCACTGCAAAACTCCACTTAAACACAAGATTGGTACATTGGTTTTATTAATTACACCACAAGTAATACTTTCTGCAACATTATATATTTCAGTTTCTGAATCTATATCCGAATAAAGTGCTGAAGTTTAGGGAATACTTTTAGTGCATTCTGTGTAGTCACTTCTATAACTTCTCCAACTGGAATTCCTTTAATTTTGGCAATGTATTCAGCAGCAATGTAAATATTTTTGGGCTCATTTCTCACCTGAAAAACAAACAAAACCAACCAAATTACAGACGCCTGGAGATCACAAGTGTTTCAGACTCAGTACTTTCTGACAGAACTTCAGTCACATTGTGGCATGTGTGGCAGAAAAATGGAATCCATGTATCCGTTCCTCTTGGATTAAGTTCCCGTGGTAACCTCTTTCCTCTCTTGTAACCACGCTTAAGACTACTTCACTGTGCTGTGGGTTTGGATACAAAGACACAGAAGTCCCTCCCTCCCATCATTCACCTGTTTTTCAGGCCCCAGAGCAGGAGAATCAGTTTCTAAGCACATATTTTCCAGCGGCAGCTGTTTCACAAGCTTCTGCTTCTTGAAGAAAATAAAGACAGCCATTAAATGCTTTGTGCACCTAAAACTGTGGGAAAAAACCATGAAGGGAGGATATTCCCTAAAATTAAAGGCAACATCAAAAAACTTTGGTGCCACTGTTTACATTTTATCAATGATTTCTGAATGGAAGCAAGAACACTGGGAGCTGCTCAAGAAGTCCCTTCAAATTAGAGTTCTCCTGTTCTCTAAATATCCAAAGTACCATTATGTCAAAGCTGAATTCATTGTTACTTATTAAATCATGCAGGTATATTGCAGTTAGAGACTTCCCAGTGCAATTCTAACTTGCTGTTTGTTGTGCATATAAAATTTGTGTGTTTTCCTCCTCTCTGCTTTACCTCTCAACCCCAGTTTGCTTTCCTTCCTAAGTACCTAACCTTATCCCCATTTATATCCACCCCTCATGCTCCCTCCTAAATCAAAACTTTTCCTCTCTTACATTTCCTGAGCTTATCACAGAAAGCAGTCCTATTACAAAAACTACTCCTTCTCTACATGTCATGTCCCTACTGTAAAACAGTACAGTGACAGAACCTTCTGAAGAAGAGTTCACCGGAAACCACAATAAAATGAGAAAAAACCCCTTTGTTTCTCAGGAATAGCTGAGCTGTTTTAGCCAGAATTCCCCCTCTGAAGTCCAGCTAAGGCAAAAGCCCCAGGCAGAAATTCAGCCAAAGTAAAAATGTGCAGGCCCCAGCCAGAACCAGGACAAACCGTTACCTGTTCACTCCTTATAATGGAAGGAGGAATGGAGAAGTAGTATCCAGCTCTCACCCCTTCCATGGCTACAGATGGCTTCCCATCAAAGGCATGGAGCAACACCTTGGTAGCACCTTGGAGAAACAAAGCAAACCACATCAGCAGCAGGCCTACAGCAGGGCTGCCAAGTCAGCTTCCAATGGGACCTTTGTCCCATACAGAATTAACACAGAAACTCTGCACTACTCCTCCTGAGTTCAACCCACACAAACTGATGTGAGGACATGGCACAACTGGAGAAATCCTGTTGGCAAAAGCTATGGCAGAGGAAATGCATTAAAAGCATACCTTGTTCCTTCAAGAGATTAATGGTTGGTCTTCCAGCTGAGCGGGAATGAACATTTCTGCACAGCAAGGAAAGGCCCAGCATTAGGAAATTTAGCCAAATACCTTTTTTTTTGGCAAATACAAACAAACTAACAGTATCTTGGGATGAAAATAATTCATCTGTATTACAACTTTTATCAAGAAAAAACCCAGGGATGTATATATTAATCCTTTCAGCTACGGTGATGATACAGGAACAACATAGCATGGATAGGGCACATAATATGTCCGTACAGAAGTGCAAACATAAGGAAAATTTTAAAATTAAATCTCAAACTGGAGACTGACAGGACACTTATGCCAGTTTAATCCATCTAAGAAAAGTTCTGTGGGCACTTAATAACCATAAATCCTGGGAAGTATTTCAACATGTTACTGAGACCTGGCAAATTCTCCTTCTGGTAGAAACAAAACCTACAATGGCAAATCCAGCCTTCTTGCCAGCTCAATCTGCTTGATCAAAACCTGTCTTTGTCCTTCCTTCTGTTCATCGGTGCTGGCAAATCTGGGAGTGAAATCTAATCCAACCTACAGTACAAGAAGAGAAGAGAAAAGTTTTACAGATCTAACACTTAACAAAACCATAATTATACATGCAAAGGCATAACATGCTTCAAAACTGCAAAGCATTTCAAAGTATGTATACTAGGAGACTGCAATTAAAATGAGCTCAGCTGCAGCTTAACTCAAAAAAAGGAATGCATTCTCAACCATAAGCTTTTCAACTATGAAAGTATTTGTGGGCAGACAGCTACTAACAAGAGCATTTAACATTTTAGTCTGTAACTGGTTTTCTGGGGGTTTATATTCTATTGACTATTATGTCAGATTAAGTCTCAAATATGGATCTCCAGTATAACTAAAATTTCTGACCTGAACCTATAGCTTTAGTCCAATCTCTAGCAAAAATTACCCATTAATTTTATACTTTTTTGATCGAAACATGTTCAGGCAAAATTTAAAGTTTGTCAAATAGATGAAGAGAAGTTCTTCATATACAGTACAACATGGCAAATTTAGCTACAAAGCTCTGCCAAAACCAGCTTTTTCTGTAGCCAGTGCAGAACCAGATATAAGTCCCTTAGGTACTAACACACAAATCAAGGCTCCATCCTAAAGCCTCAATTCATTTATAAACCAATGTAAGACGGGAGAAAACAGATGGATACAGATAGATGAAGGATTAAAAAAAAGGCACTGTACAAGTCACTGTGGTGTATTGAAATCACAGCTTAGCCTAACTTTGTCAGAGAAGAAGGCAGGAAGGATCTGCCTTTGGGTACAAAATGAGAGAGCATAAGTATGTAATCTTCCAACTCCAGCAGCATAAATGCCATCTATTTTCTAATAGTGATAACAAAGGAAAATAAGGAATCAAGCAAATCTATAAAGGAAATAAGAGAACTACCCCTCAGACTTAGTGCTTGTTCAGGCTGACAGCAATTCTTATCACATACAGAAAAACAAGCATTGACTCAGTTTTTGTAATTCCAGTGACAGCTGCTGCTGGAGAGATTTAAAGAAGTTACAGAATTCCACTCACTTCTCCAATCCCCACCAATTTGTCTTTGTAAAGTTCTATAAGAGGCAGCGCAGCATCCAGATCCTGCAAGAATAAAAGATGCAACTCTCACTGCCCTTACAAGAGGAAAGGGTTACTAACCCATCATCATGATTAAATTGGCGTTTCCTTCACTGTTCTGAAATTCTGTACTTTAGAACTTGCCATTACGGTGAGATCAGTGCAGTCAGATTTTAGAAGTCTGAAGGATTTATCTTCTTTACTTAATAACCATTTTGTTATGTATTACATTCTATATCTATCTCTCTCTACATATATATATATATATATATATATATATATATATATAAAAACCTTATTCCAAATACTCCTAAGCTAACTTTTCACAGTAACAGCAAAGGTAATTAAAACAAGGCCCATAAATCATAAATAGCTTGGTAACATTAAATAGATGCAGACAGCTCCCTGAGATTTTTAGGATAAGGCCACAAACAGTTGCCTTCCAGTTCCCATGTTAACAAAGGAACATCTGCACAGGTTGCTTGCTGTAAGCAAAGCACACTTGGGATTTTTAAAACCATTTCACTGTAGTAATACAGCCAGATGACTCCAGAGAACAACTCTGCTTTAAGGACTTACAGGAACAAATGGATATGCTGAGAGAGCCTGGGATTTGGTCCACCGGGTCTCCTGCATTACAGAGTGCAGAAAAACCACTGGGCAGACCTGAAGGTAAATCAGGCAGAGCAGAGCATCCTGTTGTCTGTCCTGAAAAGTCCCAGCAGTATTGTAGAGACCGCGTTTTACCTTCAAAGTAACACTGCGCTGCTCCTCTGGAGAAATCTCTTGGACGGGGTGAACTCCCAGGCATGGCAAGACAAACCCTGGGAATCTAAGCACGGAATAGACAGCAAGAGTATGAAAGAGCACAGAGAACCTAAGTTTAACACCAAGGGTATACAGAGAGTGCAAGTTTGGGGACAAGAAAGGCCGGCCTGAGTGAGGAGGGCAGCGCATTCCGTCAATCCCCAAGGCGCAGACCCACACCCGGGATAAGGGTGGGTGCCGGTGTTATAAATGAAAATTTGTCCAGCCAAATTAAAATGAAAAAATATTTATTTTACAATCAAATCTTATCTAGCCAGCCACAAGGAAAGAACAGTGCCGAGCCCGGGGTCAGCCCTGGCGTGCAACAAGAAGTCAGCCTCAACAGAGATTTTCCTCTATGCCCACACACGTCCATCCTGGTGCAAGCGGTTTTTATAGGGAAAATTCCGCCTGAGGCCAAGATTTTGGCAGTTAGTATTTTCTTCTATTCAGAGTCCATAAGTTAATAAAATTTTCTTTTTTAGTAATGAAAAAGAACAATTCCGTGTCTAAGAATTGTTAAATCCTTTAATAAAATTTACGAAAACACTACATTCACATATATTTGCCCAAAAATTTCCATGATATCCATCTCGTGTCATTTACACAAATAATCAGCGCCTGGGCATCCCCATATCTCTCCAAACATAACCCATCTCCCAGCCAAGCCACATCCTTTTACTTATAAATCAAGTTTCAACATACACTAAGTTTCGCCTGCGAAAGTAAGGGAAACTCCTAATACAAACATATATACTCTAACAAATATTCAATATCACATATATTGTTGCATTTCAGACTAGCAAAAGTTTAGTAGAAGTAGTTCAGCTAAGGCTTAGAATTCTTAGTAGGCCATAGGCTGCGTGTTGTTAGAAACAGTTGTTAGGTAAGGGCAGTACGGAATACTGGAGAGGTAGGAACTTATCTCAGAATACAATCCAAGAGTAGGCTGTGGTAGAACATGTCATTATTCACAAGATGGATAGGTAGATCTTGGGGGAATACATTGTTTTTACCTAACAGAGTGAAGAGAATTTATGATCATAAAAAATGTTCAATTTAAACAAGGATTAATTTGTAAATAAATGATTGTTGGAGTGTAACGTCGACAAATATGTGTTGAATTAAGCAACCGTTGATATAGACTCTATATAAACGCAATGATTTGTTAGCTCGGGGGGCTCTGACTTTGGACATTAGTCCTCAGGCTCTCAGGGCCCTCAATAAAGCACCGCATAAAACGACTTCGGTTGTTTTGTGTTCTCTTTACGGGCAACAACATCATACTAAAAATAACACAAGTTATATCTATTTTACATAACACCGGGATGCCCGCCGGCCTCGCACCTCTCAGACAGCTCCAGCACGCTCCGGAACTCTCCCGCCTGCTCCGACACCACCAGCAGCGCCGCCACGGCCGCCTGCGGCACACAGAGACCCGCGGCCCGCTGAGACCGGCGGAGCCGCGGGCAGAGGCTCCCCTCAGGCCGCCCCGCCTCACCTGCTCCGCCGCCCGCACCACGGCCGCCACGTCCTGCGGGAGACACGCACCGCCTCAGCGCCGCCTCAGCGCCGCCTCAGCGCCGCCTCAGCGCCGGGACCCCCCGCCCGCCGTGCCCACCGCGCCTCACCGTCTGGAAGCAGGGCGCGGCCAGGTGGCAGTGACAGTCCACGGGCCCCGCCATGCCGCGCCCGGCGGGAAGGCACCGGGCGGCTGCGGGTTCCGCTTCCGGGCCGGCATTTTCCCCGCGTCCCGGGCGGGAAATGGCGGCGCCGCCGCCGCCGGGCGCGGAGCAGCGGGATCCGCGGGTGCGCTGCTGCTCGCGGCGCGGGCTGGGCGCGCTGCTGGAGCTGTGCGCGCCCTTCGTGCGGGCCCTGGCGCACGGACAGCCCGGCGGGGCCGCCGCAGAGGCGGACGCGCTCTGGGTGAGCGGGGAGCGGGAGCGGCCTGTGCCGGCACCGGGCCCGCGGGCGGCGCTCGGCTCCCGGGGTGAGGGGCGGTTTGCCCGGGCGGGCTCCCGGGCAGGGCGGTGAGGCGGGACGGGCTCTTCCGTCCATCCCAGAGAGGGATTCACGGATGGACCGCCTGCTCCGTGCCTTGCAGAACTTCGAGACGGCGGTGCGGGACAACGTCACCATTAACGGGCAGCCCTGGGAGGAGGCCTCGGATGACTCCCGGCTGCCGAGCGGTGAGCATCGATTTCCATCGCGTCCTGCTGGCTGGGTTTGTTTTGGTTCGGTTTTGTCCAGAGGGAAAAGGGGTTCGATTGAAAGGGGAGGTTCTGACTTGATGTAAGGAAGTAAAAACTCATTCTAAGGATAACAGAGCATTGGAAAAGGCCGCCCAGAGCTTGTCTCCAGCACTGGAGGCTTCCAAAAACCATCTGGACAAAAGTGCTCTGAGCAACCTGTTTTGAAATGGGAGTTGACCCTGCTGTGAGCAGGAGGCTCTGGAGAGCCCTTCCAGCCTGAGTGTTGGAGGCAGTGACCAAGATCTATCAAAGGACACTGGGAGACTGTCTGTTGCTGCTATTTAATATACAGACTAAGCGTTGAAAATTATTGCTATATAAATAATTTTTATTTAATATTTATATAATTAATTAATTATATTATATAAATTTATTTATATAAATTATTTATATAAATATATTGTTTATATAAATAAATTTTAATTTAAATACTATTTATGCAATATAAACAATGTATTTATAGTTGCTGTCTTTTGTATAATAGTAGTGGAGATTCTTGGTAGTCTGGTGTCCAAAGAAAATTTCAGTGCGGTCCGTTCACTCACTTATGTTGCCTTTAGGTGCTCTGTGCCTGCAGTTTAGTGCTTTTTGCAGTTACACAGAGCTGAAAATACAGATACATTGAGTTAACTACGGAGCTGTTGAATCAAAAACATTGACCTATTTTTTGGTTGGGATGGTCTGAGTAAATGTGGGCTCTGAGCAGTGTAATCTAGTTGAAGATGTACCTGCTCATTGCAGGGAGCTTGGACTAGATCACTTTTAAAGGCCCTTCCAACCCAAACTATTCTCTGATTTTGTGAAGCGTCTGCAATTGTAGTTCTAGAATGATAAAACTCCAGCTAGTTTGACTACAAGGTCAAAAATGCACTGATCTCATGATGCAAAATGCAAAACTGAGACACTGTCATCTGCCCACAGCTGGTATAAAGCAGGTATAAGGACTGTATTGTGCTTTTTAATTTGATATAGGTTTACTCATGTACCTATCTCTGATCCAGTTTGAGTCACCAAGAGATCTGGCAGTTTGTGCCTTCCATATTTATGTTGACCAGCGGCTTAAGTCTTTCCTGTCTATATTTAAATGGTTTCATGGTGATCTTAAAACAAACAACCAGAACAAACCCACAGACTCCTAAAACATTGACTTTTCTTTTCTGAGTTTTGCTATCATTTGATTCTGCACGGAGTGACCCAGAGAGGGTGCTCGAAATCCATTCTTTACCACTAGGTTGAAAATATTGCATGGCTTGCAAGTTATACACAACACATTAGTAGGGACAGTGAATTTTATGTTAAACTGCTTATTTGTGCACTGTGTGATAGAAAATCACACAGTTGGTCTTCTAATTACTGTTTGTACAGTTGGAGTTTGTTTAATGCTTGTAAATCACACAGATAAACTATTTTTCTCCTTAAAAGATAGCCATTGCTTCCTAAGACTTTCTTTACAGATTAAGACTTCATAGGGAAATGCATTTGTTATTTTTTCCCCTGGATGGTTCTCTGCCTCTCCCCACCTGAGATAATTTACTTCAAAATAACTGGCCAACATCAAGTTATGCTCCAGTTTCTATACTCTCTTAGCAAAGAGATTCAAGACATCCATTTATCTCTATGTTGATAATTGTGCATGATATTTTTTTATTTCAGATCTAAAGCTTCTTTTTCTTGATAAGTTTGTCTCAAAAAAGGTCTGAAAATTCCACAGTAACTATGTGTGTTTGTCACTTTCAGATTCCAATATTAAAATTCTGGAGGATCAATTTGATGAACTAATAGTAGAGACAGCAACTAGGCGTAAACAGTGGCCTAAAAAGATCCTGGTGCATGCTATCCAAGCCATGAAAGCAGAGCAAGAGATGTTGGTGAGTAACCTAAGACTTCTAGAAAACTTTTGCATTAAGAAATCAATCATCCAGTGTTGACCTTTGAGCTCCTTCTCATGGTTGCTTTTGATTCTTTATCATAAAATGAGATTTCTTTTTTTCAGTAACTGGTTTTGCAGTAACTAAGGGTTAAACTTAGTAAGTTTACTAAGTAACTACTAAAGGTTGCTACAAAGTATTGTGACTGTGTCTACATTGGGTCTGTGGCACAAAGAAACTGGAGCAGATTGCTTCAGTGTGGTGACTCAAGGTTTACAAACCAGTAGGCACCTATTTATCTTCTGAGTTCCTAAAGTCCTTCCCCAAGGGCTGGTTGAGGTACTAAATGATGCACTACATGCAGATAGATAGTATCATGTGCACTGTGTGATTTAGAAAAATCAGTGGCTTCCTAAGCACTTTTTTGGAGCTTGTAACTATATGTAGTAATTACTTTCAGTAAAGCATTGGAAAAAAAGGCAGTGTGGATTAATGAATCAGCACAGTAAATTCTGTGGGATTTTTGACACACAGTGCAAAGTAATTACTGGCATTAAACAGCCCACCTGTGTCCTCAGTTGCTATATTTCTTCCCTGAAGTTATGTTAGGCCTCTCTTTCGCTTACCTCCTGATTAATTAGGATTCCTTTGGCAAAAAACAAGAGGATGAGGCAGAGTCAAACACTGGCACAAGCTGTCCAGTGAAATTGTGCAGTCTTCATCCTTGGAGAGATTCATGGAGATACTCAAAAGTTGACTGGATGAGGTTCTGAGGAACCTGCTCTAGTTTGCCCAGTTTTCAGGAGGGTGTTTAGAGGTCCTTTCCAACTTCAGTAGCTCTATGCTAAAGCAGACAGGGATTTTTTTAGAAAGTGTAGGAGCCTGCACTGCATTTCTGAGGGCTAAAATTGACAAGTGTTAACTCTCTGAGTTAGCCAGGCAGAGATGATTTACTAAGGAAAAGTGCATGGGGACACTTTTGTCTTATACCTGAGATATTTTCTGGAATATATTGTCTTTTGTGATCTCTCTGTTCTGTCAGTATATTAAGTATGTAAAACAAACAAACAGTATCAACTGAAATGAAATATGCTATTGCACAACACCAAGATTTAACAAGACCTTTTAATCTTTCTGCTATCTGAGTGCCACAGTGGATTAGTTATTTGGAATGACTCTCATGCTACTTTTTTTCTCTTGCTGATCTCTTCAAAGTTCACACCACCACAACTAGATGATTATTTTAATTAAAATTATCTGCAAAAGTTTAGTTTATCCCTGTAAGAATATGTAGAAATATATGTAAGATTATGGAAAGCTTAGTTTGTTTCTGTAAATGGTTGTTTTTTTCATCTCTCAGCTATTTCTGTAAAGATACCAGTGATTTCTTTGTTTTGGTTGAGAATTTCTTGTGTTCTTTCATGACCATAGCTAATTGTGTGATGCTTTCTGAGGCATAAAGAGAAGCCACGAAGATGTGATTTACCTGGAGAGAACCACTCATTTATTGTGGTGATTTCCTTATAATTGCCAAAGCAAGGGATCATCCTGTGGGTTTTCAGTCAATATGGTCTGTAGAGTTTGAGGCTAATGCAAGCCATGCTTGTTCTGCTTGGAGCTGTTGCTGCAAACTTGCTAAGAAGTTGTGTGAACTGTGAAAAAATTTCTCTAGCAAAACTACAACAAGGAATAATTAGCTTTCCCCTGCTTGGTTTTGCTTGAAGAAGGTTGAGGGACAACTCCTGAAGTGGAGAACACTAACTTGCAGATGATCTAACTTCTGTTCCCTTGGCCTTGTTTGATTTCCTTCATCCCTGTTGGCTGCTTCTAATTCCACCTTTATTGTAACTAAGTATGGGTTGTATTCAGTTATTACTAGTTTACTTCATGTCCCAGGTAACTGATGTAAGGTCACAAGACTCAGAAGCAGGTTTGTGAAGCAGAGTGTTCTTAGTTCTATATAAGTAATTGCAGGGCTAGAGTGTAGTTAAGTACTTTTCTTTTTCTTAGCTTTTTGTCTTAATGTACCCTTTGTTGGAATCTGTGGCTCTGTGAAAGCATGCTGGTTCTGTGAATGGCTCCTGAGAAGCTAGAGCAGCTCTTTTTCTTCAGTTGTGCAGCAGGTGGCAATGCTTCTTCCAAAATGCCTGGATGTCAGTTCTCATGCTTTAATAATTAGAATTCTGCAAACTAAAGCAGATTCTGGAGTTGTGTTTACAGTGAGTGTAACTGTGTTAACCAGAATGCTGTCTTCAGTAACTAAGTATCTATAATCTGTACCTCTAATACATTCTTGTTCTAAATAATTCCACCACAATCTCCATTGTTCTGACTGCTATATGTATATTAGATATCTATTAAACCAAGGTGGTATTTCACATTTTTGTTTGTTTTTCTTTTGAATATGAAGAAGCTCTACCAGCCTGTGGTAAAACCAGCAGACATAAGACCTCAGCCTTCTCAAGGTAAAGATTTTGTGGGGAGAGCAGCTGTACTGAGGAAACACTGCCTTACTTACTGGCTAACTGTAAATGTTTTAAAAGTTTTCTTTCTTTAAACTTCTTTAAAATTGGCTGATAATAAATTAACTAAAAAGATAGAAGTTTGTCATAAGTGAATGTATTGGTGCCTGGGTTTTACTGTGTCCATTTCTCTTGTTCTGAGTGCTGCTTGCAGTTAGGCACTGTACTTGAAGGCAAAAAGCTGGCAAAAGCCTCTGTGTGTGTGTGTTGGGGAGAAATTGTCACACCCCAGGAGGCTTCCTTTCTTCTTTCCTTCATCACTGGTGGAGGCCAAGTGGGGAACTGGATGGATCACTGACATTAGTCTCTTCTTGTGTTCCTTTTGCATGGCTTCTAGAAATGCTTCAACCTCTCTTCCTAATCAGTCAGTTCCTTCAGGGAATTGAAAGCTGTAGTGAAGGACTCAGTGGTGGCAGTGCTGACTCTCTGAACTTGCCAAGTAGGACATAGATTTCATCCTGCCTGTGTCACTTGTAGGGGTGATGAAGGAACAGAACTGCAAACGACATTGTAAGTTTGCTGCATGCTTGGAGAGATGCCTTGTACAGACTCCTTGGAACAAGGTGGTGGATTTTGGAGTGGATGATTGGGATGTCCTCCTTTGAGACTGGCCTTAATAAATGAGAAGCTTTGTGTTGCCTGTTATTAAGTATTGAAAAATGACAGAATTCAGCCGTGCATTTCTGATTTAAAAAGTGAGAACCCTCACTATGAATTACTGCACATGATGTAACAAGCAGCGGTGCTCAGAGTTTGAGGAGCTGAGCTGAATCTTCCAGTTCTCACCCTGCTGATCTGACTTCATTCTAAACATCTTTGTAGATGGGAGACATGGCTTCCAGCAGTGCCAGCTTGTGCAGCAAAGCAGCCAGTAGGAGCAGTGCAGTGGTCACTTTATATCTGAGTTCCGTTTGGTTTCTAGTGTCCAAATGGAGGCTTTTCTGATGTCAGGCAACTACTTGCAAGTTAGTAACAGCTTGCACTATGATATTGTGGTTTTGGGTTTGGTAACAGTAAAGTTGTAGCAAAGATACTGTGGAATTTATGGAGAATTTTGGTATTATGTAGTCTTTGGGAAGTTTATGTATCCCAGTTTAGCAACTACAGTGGCCAGAAACCAAAAATGTTTGGATTACTCAATACCTTTCATTTCCTTGTTTCATTTCCCTATGTTTTGGAAAGCCTTGAACTCTGAGGAATGTAATGCCATCTATGTCAAGCCAAACTCTTGCAGGCAAATTTAATTTAACTGTGTGTCAGTCTTTCTGTGCAATAATCCAAATTATTATTTCTTCTTTTACTTCATCCTTATAATTTCATAAGGTCACCAATCTCCTTATCCCAATGCTTTATTGTAAGAATGCTTCATTGTAGATATATCCTTTTAGAGAATGCCCTTCCATAGGGCTTTAAGATGAGTTTAAAGAGGTTGCTTCTGGACTGTTTATTCTTCCAAAGTGAATGATGGTGCATTTTAGTGTCCATGTTCATGTAGGGATCAGATCAAACCAGCTCTGACCAGCACATTGGACACAAGTACCATCCCTTGGTGGTTACCATGTTTCAGCAGGGAATCACTGTAACCCTGAGCTACAGTGCAGTGACTGACTTCAAAATACCTTCACCAGCACTAGTAAGATTGACTTCAAAACAGATTGCTGTGTGTAACCCTGACAGGGTTCAGGGGTGTGTGCTCCACCTGACACCGTGTCCTACTGCAGGCACTGCAGAAAACTAATAGTAGTGGAGGTGAGGCTCCTTACTTCCCAGAAGCATGCTAGTCTGCTCATTTTAAGTTTTGTGCATGGAGAACATGCAAAACAATTTCATAATAGGCTAGAGTTTAACTTTTGAATACAGAATTAAAGTATTGGTGATCTTTTCATATTGCTATTACAGTCGAATATATGCTGTATTCCCCCTGGTGTTTTGCACCTGCTACCTGCTTCAGTGTTCCTGAAAGCTGGGGTTTTTTTCATTTCCTTATTAGCACAACAGAATTAATGCAGTTCATCTTATTTATGCTTGATTCTTTTTGGTGTTAATGCTTGGTAAGTTAAGTCAGAAGGAAAAAAATAGCCTTTATTGTAAGAGCCAACTTGTTGGAGACATAGGATGATTTATTTGCCCTCCTTAAAATGGGTTTTCTAAATCTCATGTTCTCTACAGTGATGCCTATTCTCTGTGTTCTGTGTGGGTTTTATCAGATGTAATATGAGGTTAAAAGTTTTGAAAACAAATCTTTCTGTGTAATTATTTCTTTACAGCTTTTCTCCTTTTTCAGATAGTGGCTTTGTGTTTTCTAGGTAGGAACTTTGGGGCTTTCTGTAGTTGAGACTGCTAGCCTCTACTGCAATTTGAGTGATAAAGAATAATACTAGTAAGATAAACCATGCCAGCTGTCATCCTTGGTGTTACAGCAAAATGGATGTGCTGCAGGTTTAGGTTTTATACAGGGACTTTCTGGTTTTCTGTCAGTTTTCTGATAGTGAATAATGGGGGAAAGAGTTTTAGAAGCTGATTTGGGCTGTGTTTGTCTGTAGATGCTTACATCGCAGATCTGAAACAGGCGACAGAAGCGGCATCCAAAAAGATCAGCGAAGCAATGCAGGTGAGACCTCCGTGTGCTCCAAGAGAAGTATGTTTTTATCTTCTTGATCAGGTAATATGTCACAAAACAGGAGTTCCAGCTCATCTTCCTTATAGTTTGGTGGAAGAGAAGCCTCTGTGTGTACTTAGGAACTAGATAAAGCATTGTGTTTGTAAAGCATTCCCCCTCATGAGCTAGTAATGGAGATTACCCAGGAAATACTTCTACTGAGATTTTGGAACATGCAGTGTCTGAAAAACAGAACATCTTTTGAAGACTTGTATGACTTCATCTGAAGTTTGACATTTTGTTGTCTCAGAACCTGCTTAGGCATCAGCTGTGGTGTTCCTGTGATACTGCCTGAGCTTAGAGATGTCATGAGGCAGCACTTCAACTTGGCGCACTCTGCATGGTTTCTGTGTGCAGACACTTCACTATTGGGGTGGTAGCTCTGCGTTCACAACCCTCACCTGCCATCCTGAGCATCACCTCTGCAGACAGTGAAGCTTTTGTGCCTGTCAGAATCTCATTAGCATATTGTATGCCTGGTATCCATTGCTTTTCTCATGTAACCTGAGATACTTGGGTTTGTTTTTGCAGTCTCTTCCAGCACTCATAGAAAAAGCAGAAGGTTTTTCCCAAGCATTGACTTTGCAACCGACCTTGGAACTCTGCAAGCTGCGGCAAGAAGTCTTTTCTGGTTGCAAGGCGAAGGAGGAAAACAATGTCCAAAATTCAGTACCACCAGGAGAAGTCACACCAACAGGAACTGTTTCCAGTAAAAATCCTTATGTTTTGCTGAAAAGAAGAAAAGCTGCAGATTCCCCCGAGAGAAGGCGCTACCCACTGCGGCGGAGGAAGATCAGTCTCAGTGCATGAATTTCTCATTTTGTGTTTTCACATTGCAATCTCAGTTGTACTTTTGTTCCATCTTTTTTCTTAGAACTCATCTCCCCACAGTACTATACATGGGAGCTTCTTTAATTAGTCTTTGGCCTCTTAAATATTTCTACTTTTGCTGTCATACTGATGATATATGAAAGCCTATATATACCAGCAGTATACAATATCCAGCAAGTGTATTTGCCATTTACTCATTTTTTGCTCTTATATTGCAGTTTTTAGCTTGAGTCCTTGTGCTTCTCAGAGTTTGTGTGCATGCTTTATGTATGTGGGCAGTCTTTTAGGAAACCACTAACTGCTCATTTACATTCAGTATGTCTCTAAAGAGATTGGAGAATGTCTAGTTCTCCTAATGCACCTTCACTAATTACTGACGTATGTGGCTTGTATGTTAATGAATTAATTGACACTGCAGCATATTGAAATCACCAAATTTGATGCAATGCTGGAATTTTAGGAAGTCCACGCACACATGTGACATTAGTCCTTGCTATTCTACCTTTCCTGAATGTAGGTCATCTAGGCTTATTTATAGTCATGTTTGTTGAAACTTGGATTTTTAATAATTGTATATATTTACTTGCAGTGTGCTCTTCTGAACAGGAATTCAACCATCAACATCTTAGGGTCTGATATATCATTTCATGTAATCCAATTACACAGCTTGGGGTTTTCCTGAGCAATATTTCTAACGAAGAAAGGATCTTGACTTGGGTTATGTTTGCATTTGTATTGTTTGACTAAACTTTAAAGATCAGTAGAGGCTAGCAGTAAATGCTATTCACTTGAGCTAGCTTACTTCTGTTTTCTTTACTCATTAGTACCTAGAAGATTGCAAATTAGTACTAAATTGAGCACTGTGCCTTAACCATTTATAACTTTTTCTAGTTTATGGTTGCATGTGCCTGCAGTAAATACCCCTGTCTAGTATGTAACATATTTGTTACAGTAAGTGCAGGGGGGTTTTAGGAACATTATTAATGACATGTTTGGTGCTAAGAAGACAGGTCCGACCTAATGTCTAAGAGACCAAATTCTCAAGAAAACAGATTTTAGCATCATTTATTTTGTAAAAGTGAGCATCTGTACTGAGACTTTGTATATGTAATCATATGTAAATATTTTTCCTGACCTTGTATATAGAAATGTGTGTTTTTATATGAAGTAAATTAAATCAATTAAGGAAGATCAAAGCTCCAGATAATATTGTCAGTTCTAATTCTGGAATAGATGGTGGCTGAGCAGTGAGCGTACTTCAGAGGACATCTGTGTTAAATTCTGGCTTGAGTAACTGAAGTAGTTCCATTTACTGCCTTTGAACTCACAAGTGTTATTAATCTCGGGGCTGCAAAGCTTCTCGTGTAAGAGAGGACAGGATGTGAGAGGGACTGGAGCTGCAGGGCTGTGGAACTTGTGGCTCAGATGGCTTCTCACACAGCCACTTGCTATTTTGAGTGCCCGTGCTGTGTGCGGCGTTGAAAATCCCTGCTCCGGCTTTCTTCATACAGATCCTGGGTGTTGCTAGGCTAAGGTGAGCGCTGCAAGATTTTGCATGGCAACTATTACAGTATTTGGCCATTTCCTCTGCTAATAGGAAGATACTCTGCTCTTCTCTGCAAATGACAGGCAAGTACAGAAAATAGAGGCATCTCTTTGAAGAAGTTCTGTCAGAAATAGCTGGGGTAGGACAAATGCCCTCAGAAATAAAAAGGGAAAGCACTGTGGTCTAAGACTTAATAAATAAATCCAGAGGTTCACGCTACAGTGCATGTTTCTGTTTAGAGGCTAAGGGATAGTTGGTCTGCACAGGATTTCAAGTAAGTGAGAATGGATGCCCTCAGAGCAGTTGATATTTTGTTCCATAGCCTGTATTGCAACTGCAACTGGGTGGAAGAAGAGAAATGCATGTGGAAATACTGGCCAAGTGGACTGTGTAAAGAAAAATATAAAGCAATCAGGATTCCAAGTGCAGCGTATAAAGTAGGAATTTAAAAATCTGATGGCTACTTTTGGTGAAGCAGCACTGGAAAGAGAACCTCCCTTTAAATGCAAGTTCTATGATGAGCTAAACATGAATGTTCAGCAGTTTTACCAATGGTTATTAAAAAATTCTACAGCCAGTGATGCCTGCAACTAGCTGTCCCTCCCATTGGCAGAAATATATAAAACACTTCATTTTTCCCCACCGCAGTAGCCTTTTGTCCTTCAGTTAACTTTTCATAGGAATTGGCAGTGTTGTGCAAGACATGTCTAATCAGACTTCTACTGAAACGGCACAGCAGCCAAGCTTCTTATTTTTAACTTGGGGTGAATTGGTATTGCATCAAGAAATGTCTGGTAGTTTTTCTTTATATAGCCTTTGGATTTTGTAAGACAGCTCAATGGTGATGTATGCTTGGGTTCATTTGCAAACTGAGTTTGAATTTCTTGGCTTTTGGGGGCAAGACAGAACATCTCACTGTTAGTTTGTCCTGTCTGCAATGTGCTTTTTGCTCATGAGGCTAGGCCATCCCCAGCCAAGAAAAACTTGCAAATTGGAGCAGTATCTACGCATGGTTTTGCTGTGTTTACTTTCTGAACAAAGGGGATTACGAACTGTAAAGGGGAAGCTCCTCTTCCAGAAATCTTCACATGGACACTGACATCTGTTTGGAAGCCTGGATGCTCTGAGACCCAGTTCTGACATGTACCATTCTCCAGAAGAGCCGTGCTGTGCTAAGCTGTGATCAGAAACTAGTCTGCATGTGTGTAGGCTGCTTCAGTACAGACAAAAATCACTGATAAAATGCCATTATAAAATTAAGCTCAGCTGACTAGGCTGCTTTTTGGGCTGGTTTTCTCTCCTGCGCAGAAACGCTCTGCCTTCGCTGCTGCACTACCTGGAATTACTGTGTAGGCATTTCTACAGATGTACCAGAGATAGCTTTAATACTAAGCAGAAACTTGTTCCCACAAGCAAATTTTGACTTGTCATTTCCTTTGTCATTTGTTCTGAACAAGAACAGACTATTCGGGCTCAAGGGGACTGTCCACTGGCTTGTCCCATGCTTGTGTTATCCTGGAAACCTTATTCTGCATCTGCTGGGAATTATTCAGTGAAGTGGATATTTATTCAGGACTATAAATTATTGGTGAGCTGCTCATGATTTGAAGCTGTCAGGTAGCTGGTGCAGGTGCCATTTGCAGCAGCATTGCTCCTAGAGCATGGAGTTCAAAGTCCCTCTGTGGAAGGGGACTTTCTTTCCCACAGATCACTCCAGAGGGCTGTTGAGGTGTTTTATCCATGATTCATAGCAAGAGAACATACCTGTTCCCCGAGATTGTGAAAATACTGGCTTCTAGTCCTGTTTATTTCAACTGAGCTTAAGCTACAAAGGCAGCAAGATCCCAGTGCTCTCTTTTTAAGCAACAGTCCTGCTCATGTCCTCATGTACTGCTTTCCTTTAACTGCATGAGGTGTAGTTAATGCAAGATTAGGCTGTTTCAAAGGAGCGGTTGAGAGCAATTCATTCTCTAACAACTTTCTGCCTGGTGGTCAGGGCTGCTTTCCAGGAGGTGTTGGTTTGGATCCCCTCAGCTGGAGAATGGCACTGAACCCACACCTTACTGCTGCCTCCATGAGCAGCCCTCAGTGAACATCTTGCTCTTGGCACATTAGATGACAAAGAGAGAAAGAAGCAAGACTGCTTTTGAAGAAACCAGGGAATACCCTGTGAAATGCTTGGGAGACCCAACACAGTCTGGGGCTGCAGGTTAGGTCAGGATATTTTGGCAAGACCGTGCTTCCAGCTGTGGTCACCAGCCACCTTCCCATGGCTGATAGGGTGGGAAGACTTACAGGGACTCGGTCCTCCAGGGTTGGAGAAGCTCTTTGAAAAGTGCAAAATCAAATAAATGCATGGATAGCCTGGAGGGTGGAGACAGAAGCTGCTTTGAGGTGGAAGAGCTGGGAAGAAGCACTTCAAGGAAGTCGTGCTCAAGTCTTTTAGTCACAGTCCCAGATCCTACCAGGAAACCTGTGCCACGGCACAGACATCATTTTGACTCATGGACTCTGGGGAACATGGTTCCCTCACCTTTAGCATGAACTGTTAGCCAGATCTTCCTGGAAGGATAGTCTGTATTTACTCAGTTTGCCAACTCTTTAACTTCATCTAAACTGGATGACTCAAGCTGCTGAGGAAACCAGAAAAATAGGGAAGTATCTGATTTATTGAGATACCTGGGGCTTTATGACTGACTGCCCTGCAGTTTGGGGGCACGTACCCTCCTCACATGGTCATGTGTTCAGCTCTGTGAGTTGAGCGCAGCCAGGAGGGTACAAGAGTTATAAATCCTTTTGCAGGAGAGCAAGGATGTTGAAGTTGCTGTCAGTGCAAACACCCCCTTTCAGAGCATAAGGGCAAGGTAACTGTGCAATTAAAATGCAAGGAAGGTGTTCCGAGATGTAAAAGAAACAGTGTTCTGTTAAAATACTCTCAACAGAATAGTGGAAGAGAAAGATTTTTGTCTGCAGCAACTGTATTTCCAACAGTCTTTGTCTGGCTTTGCCTTTACAAGAAGTCTGTCGCATTTCCTTATTATTTAAAGGAACAGGGTGAGTAGCGAAAGTGAAAATCGCTTTATCCCAGCACGGATGCCGTGTCCTCACACCCACGATCCCGGGCTGAGCTGGCTGTCCCGCATGTGGAGCTGCCGCCGCTTCAGAGAGCCGATGTCAGAGGAGCGCGGCGGGCAGGAGCGGCCGGAGGTGAGCGGCGGGACGAGCCCGGTCCCGGGGCAGCCTGGAGAGGAGGGAAACCGCGGGGAGTTCATTTCTGCGGGCGAACGAGCGAGTCGGGCCTCCCGGAGGGGCGTCGAACCCAGCCGACCCCGGGGCTGGGGCTCTCCGGGGGGATTTTCAGGCAGCTCCTGCCCGGCAGCGCCGTGCCCCGGACTTTCCCCCGGCTCCCGGCGGCTGACGAGAGCCGGCGGTCCCGGGGGGCGGTCCCGGCGGGGGAGCGGTGCGGGATGGGGCGGCCGGGTGGTCGCGGGTTCCCGGTGCGGCGGGCGCCATGTGACGGCCATGTGGGCGGCGGCTCCGCCCGGGCCGCTCCGGCACCTGGCGGCGGCACCCCGGGCCCGGGGCGGCGCGTCCCCCGCCCCGGCCCGCCCCGGCCCGCCCCCCGCTGTACTCCTTCCCCCGCGGGCCGGGGGAGCGCTGCGGGCGGCTCGGCGGCGCCGGGATGTCGTGCGCCGTTCCCGCGGCGGCGGCGGGGGCCAGCGCGCTGTCCCGGGGCGCGGCGGCCGAGGGCGGCCAGCAGGTAGGACCGGGCGGGGATGGGCTGCGGGGATGGGCTGCGGGCGGGCGGGCACGTGGGGCTGAGTCACGCCGGGCAGCGCCGCGGAGGGATGCTCGCTGCCCCCGGGCATCGGTCCTTCTTTTCCCGGGAGGCGGCCGCCGTGCTGGCTCTTCCCAGGCGGGAGCGCGGGCGAACCGCCGGCAGTGCGCGGAAAGCGCCGGGGCCCGGCGCGGGCAGCGGCTTTTCCCCAGCCGCGGGCAGCCGGGAAGGGAGCAGGGCTTTCCTCCGCGCTGCTCGCACCTCCGCCCCGTCGGCCGCAGGTGTAAAGCGCTGCCCGCCGGGCAGAGCGGGAGCGCCGGTCCCCGCTCGGGTACCCAGCTTCCCCCATCGGTAGCGGTGCCCCTGCCCGCGGGGCTCTGCGGCATCCCCCGGGCAGCCTGCTGGCTTCCACCCCTCTGCTTCGGCTCTGCCTGTGCAGCGGGGCAGAGGGATGCGATGCTCTTTGAAGGGACCGTGAGGTCTCTGGGAGACCGAGGATCTGAGCTGTAAAATTGGAAGTGTTCGTTCTCAGAAAGTTACACGCTCGACTTCGGACATCTTCTGTGTGTACCTTGCAAACTAGCGAAGTGTTTCTGGTTGATGTCTTCCAGAGTCGTGAAGAAGATGACAGAAAAGTAAGGAGGAGAGAAAAAAATCGAGTTGCTGCACAGAGGAGCCGGAAGAAGCAAACTCAGAAAGCAGATAAACTTCACGAGGTGAATGGATACTTGGTGCTTTGCAGGCATGGCTTGGGTACCAAGCACGGGACTGTACAATGAATGGGAATTCTTAAGCAGGAGTGGGCCTTTCTTCACATAATCCTGCTCAGAGAGCTGTGGGATGCCTAGTTGGGAACTTCCAGACACTGTTGCTGCTCTTGGACAGTGCAGCTCTGCCTTCAGCAACACTGCTAAGGAAGAGAGAGACATGGTCCAGCCCTTGCCTCATCCTCCCTCTTTTGCTCTTCCTGTGACCACCCAAAGAATGAGATCACAGGGCTCCTTTGGGCTAAACCAGAATCATTTTCTTCTGTATTAGTGTTAAGCTTATCACATTTGCTGTGCCAGTGGATGAATTCTTGCTGTCTTACGAGGCAGAAGGTGATGGAAGAGGAGGGGACCATGCAGTGGCAATGCTGGCTTAAATAAGTTCTAGAGTTGTGGTGTGGGCGCTGCCACTCAGCAGTGGGGTTCCCAGGCATACCCAGCTGAAAAGGCTTCTTAGGTACTTGGGAACCTGCAGGCATGAGAGCTCAGCTTGGCTAGCTGTTACACTTGTGTGCTTTGAAAAGTGACAGTGGGTGTTCAGACAGATAAAATGAAAGTAACTGATTCTTCCAGAAGCTCTTAATATTACAATGTGGTGTGCTTTTCTTGTGTCCCCAGTGCAAACACTGGAGGACAGGGATCCTTTCTCTCTGGTTTTGGATGTTACCTCACACCACAGTGCTCTTGTAGCCAGGAGTCAGCTTTTGGGGTAAGTGTCAGTTTTGCAGCACACTGCCACTGTGGCTGAGTCAGTTGCTCAGCTCTGAAGATTTATCACAGGCTTTTTTCTTTCTCACTGTGGAAGGATCTGCCAGCAGTTAGCAGAGACTAAGCGGGACAATGTGGGGAGTTTTGGGCTTGGTTTTTCCCAGATCCCCTCTGAGTCAGCGCCTGAGAAAGCCAGGTGCAGAGTAGTTCTGAAAAGGGGTAACCCCTGGCTTTTGTGGAATAATTTTTGGGCCCTGTGCCATCCTGCAGCCTCTCTGATGTTTCCCCTGAACTTAAGGATCTTCTTCATGCTGAGAATCTTCATTTTGAGGCTCACAGGTTTTGCCAGGTGTAGGCAGATCTGGTTGAATAGACATTCATTCTTAGATACAGCAATGTGACAGTCTCACCCCTGAAAATGGGACAGAGCAATGGGACAGCAACATTTATTCCAAAACCCAGGACCACGGGATTTGGGGCAACAAGAGATGAGCAGAATGACAACTGGGGTTGGACAACTTGGCTGGAGTTTGGCTGCAATACCGTGTTAGGACTGTGCCTGCTTCACTCTGTGAGAGGTGGCACAAGGGTGTGAGGGAGGGCAAGGAGCCCAAAGTTCTGCAGCAAAGGGGAGCAGAGGCAGTGCCAGGCTGCCCAGAAGAACATTGCATGAGAGGCTCTCCCTGCTGCTTTTTAAGGCACGTGTAGGCTTTGAAGTTTGCTCGAAAGCTTTCCCAGGGAGGTGAGAATGAGTGGGTGGATGTTGAGCCTTGGGCCAGCAATGAGACATCCATCTGCAGGTTTTCAGTGGGCTGGCTCTGAACCTCTAGCTCTCTTCTCTTTGGAATGGGGAGGCTTAGAGGCAGGGACACTTGAGACACAGAGTTATCAAAAAATGTCACACAGGAGTCTTGCATCCATCACATGTATGCTGCAGAGCAACTCAAAACTCCCCTGCAGTTAATAGTAGCTTATTTATTGCCAGAGAAGCCTTAGCTCAAAAGCAGCCAGGTCAGGGATAACCAAAAGCAGTGGTCTGGCCTGCTGGTGACAAAATGAATCTGGCTTCAAGCATGATGCTTCCTCGTCCTGAGTTCTTGGGCTTCTGAGAAGGTGGCTACAAGCCCTGGCAGGCCTGGAGGAGAGCACTGGATGTGCTGTGCTAGCCTGGATAAATGGCTTTTCCCTGTGCCTTTCTCTCACCAGCAGTGCCAGGCACTGGGTTTTCCCAGCACCTCTTGGCACTCAGTGCTTTCATTTTCTCTGATCTCACCGTGCAGAGTCCATTTTGGCCCTTCCCAGCAGAGGCAGCCCAGGGTGGAAGAGGCCACCATGGGGACACAGCCATCCATGCCTGCAGCCCTGGGCTCCTAGAGGACTCTGAGGGCTAGTGGCACCTCCTGGTCTCCAGGGCCATGAAAGGAATTGCAGTGTGGTCAAGGCACAGGTTGTAAAGCACTTGCCCTGTTCCAGCACCCAGGCTGGGTCTGTCTTTCCTCAGCACTTCGTAAGCTGTAGTAAGAAACCACAGTGTTTTTCTACTGTTATGTGAATGTACTCAAGGTGGAAGCACTGAAAGGAATGTTTTGACTGTAAGTTGTTTTTTTTTCTTTCCCCTCCTTCCAGGAATATGAGTCTCTTGAGCAAGAAAATACCTCCCTGAAAAGAGAAATCGGAAAGCTAACAGATGAAATGAAACACTTGAGTGAAGTGTTGAAGGATCATGAAAAGATCTGTCCACTATTGCACTGCACTATGAACTTTGTGACCATACCAAGGCCTGATGCACTTGCCAGCTGCCTACCAAGATGAGTGCTCTCCTTAATCACCTCTCAATGTGAAGTGTGAAAGTGCCATTAACAGGAGGTTTGAAGAACTGCCTAGTGTGCAGTTCTTCCGTGGAAGAGGGCTGGACTCGACCACACAGCTCTACTCCACATTGAAATGTTACAGTCTTCTGAATCTCAGGAAAACACCAGTATGGAAAATAAGACAATTTGAACAGCAGCTTCTAACTTGGTAGACTCTTCAAGCCATGGTTTTGCCTTTGGAAATGTCAAAGTGCCATGCAGCCCACTATGGAGTGATGGAGGGGAAAAGTACCGACCTCAGACTGGGATGTCTTTCTCCCACACATCCACTGCCAGTAACCCTTTGTCACTTGTCACCTATGCATGTCATGATCTGGCTGCTGGGTTTTATCTCTCTAAACAGGTTTGGTTAATAAAAGTGATGTCTCATCTCTATAATGTTCTCCACCTTCTTCAATAATCAGTGTCTTTATAGCATCTCTGCTTTCCATTTGCTGGTCAATCCCAAAGTCTAGTGTTAATCTTCCTGTTAGTTGTTCTATTATTTACTTATCACCTCGTCATTGGTTCCTCTTTAGAAGTGTGTGTAACAAAAGAGTTTTCTTAGTCTTTAATATTCCAAATCATCAGCCTTGCTGGCATTAGCCCTTGGAGTGTTTTATATCCTAAAATACAGCTTGGTCAGCTTCTGATGATGATTGTCTGTTCTGTGTGGAAGAAAAACAAACAAAGTTTGATGGTTTTAAACATTGTTTTAAAAAGCAGATTTTAAAATTTACTCTTTTAATGCACTCACTGGAAATGAACAAGTATCTTCATCCTTCCTTCGTCTTGCTTATTGCCTCTGGAAGACTATGGCTGTGGACTGAGTTTTGCTAAGTATTTTGTTCTATGTCCACACTGAAGGTGTTTGATAATTGCTTGAAAGAAAAACATTCTGCTTTCTTTTTCTTTTTAGTTACAAAAAGGAAGTATGATTGCAATGTTATTGAGAAATACACAGAAAAATTTGTTTACTTTCTCTGAAGATTCCTAATAGTGTCAACCTCTTGAAATGTGGATGCTGTAGCTTGGGATCCAGCAAAGAGTCTTTTTCTCACAGTATTTCACAGTCAAAGAGCACCTTTGGATAATAAAAATCTCCTCCCCTTGCCAACTCTCTCACTTCAGCATTTGGATTTTTTTTCAGTTAAACTCATGGGATCAATTTCTCCCCTTGCTAGGATCATGGATTTTATCAGCAGAATATGATCTGAAATATCAAAATTTTAATTTTTTTAAAACTGTTTTTTGTTTTTTGTTTTTTGTTTTTTTTTAGTTTCTTTAGTAGAATGGTGCACTGCTGATCAGTGCCAAGACAGAATTTGGGAAACCATGTAGTCAGCTCTGCCTTCTAAAGGGCCCTCTTGTACCATTGTCTTAGGCTAGAAATTCCAGATGAGCTGTTGGCTTCTTTAAATTATTAGGTTGTTCCCAAGAGAATTTCCAAGATTTGCATCTGCAGCCTAAATGCTGTCTTCAAAGTCCCTTATGGTCCCATAAGAACTGAGTCATCCCACAGAGAGAATCTGCTGCAGTCCCTCCCTAGAAAAACAAAAGTCTCAGTACAGTTCAAGATTTTGGATAATGTCCTTGAAACCATTCTCTGTGTCACCCTTATGAATGGAAGTTATCTTATGAATATTCATCCACACACCCACATTGCCTCAGGCACTGGATGCCACTGTGTAATTTGGGCAGAATGGAGCTGTAATGGAAAAGGAGCATAGTGGAAATGAACAACATTCACTCTGGGAAAATCTGTTACAATTTAGGATGAAGGGAGAGAGGGAATGTTTCATAGTTCTTAACTAGGTATGTGCTGCTGACTGGAAAGTATCTAATTGAGGTCAGGACTATACAAAGCTGGTCTCACATATGGAGCCCTGTGGACCCTCAAAAATGGGAGGAAAAATCAGGTAATCCAAGTCAGTCCATCCCAGCAGAATCCTTCTAAATACTTTTCTTCCACAGATGCTCTCTTCCAGAAGTAGAATTCTAGTTCTCTGTGTAAAATCCTCCTCCTTGCATATTTACTTTTCTAAATATCTGTCTAGATACTGATTCCAGCTTATCATTTGGTGTTATATCCAAGTTCTGAGCTAGATTTCCCATCAGTAAGCACTGTTCTTGTTCTGCAGTTAAAGTTTTAATCCGTGGTGTCTGCACTGGAGTTCATTGCTTTATTAATTGTATAATGTCTATGCAGAGTGTACAGGGGGAGGCAGCAGAATCCTCAGCGATGTTGTGTGATGGAGAAAACAACCCAAGTCCAAAAATATGTTGCTGTTCCTTGGAAGGGCTGGGAGTCCTGTGGGAGCCCTCACTGTACCCACTTTTTTTCCCACAACCTCAGGGTAACTCCAGCTCTTCTTGTGCATCATGTCCATTAGTAACAGTAGGGCATGGGTTGCTTCTTTCTCCATCTCTTGCATCACTTTTTTTTCCCAGGAATATTTCCAAAGGGCCTTTTGCATCCTTCTTCTATACGATATGAGGCACTAAGGCACTTCACCAGTCAGTATATTGTGTGACTAATGCTCAAAGGCAGCTGGGAGCCTCAAGTAAAAGTGAGCAAAATTAGTATCCCAAGCCACTTAAGTCCAACATTCTGATATATTTATAGAACTAATGTGATAGCTGAATCATGAGTCAACAAGGACCATGAGCTGTTAAAGCACAGGCTTATGTGTCCCTACGCATGCAGCAATTACACTTTTTGCTTGAGCTGTTCGTAAGGATATTGATTTACAGGAACCTTCAGAACAGAAAGTATGCTCTGGAGCCTGGGATAATTTTTACATGAATAGGGAACCAGAAAGGAGAACAGAAAGGAAAAAGCCCATTTGTTAAGGAAGCAACAGAAAATTCTTTTTCAGATCCAAACCTCTCATTTTGCAGCAGTGTTACACCATCAAAAAAAAAAGGGTTTCACATCTATATATGGCTAAAATTCCACTTGATGTACTGTAGCTTCAAAAAGCTTCCAGTTGGTTTGACTCGTTCCCCACAAAAATGTGGCCTGTATCACATCCACGTGATTTTCAGATGCAGGTAAATAGGGAAGATCTTTTCTATATGCAGATCATGGTTCATGTGAGGTGCACTGCGAGCTACAATCTTATTTGTGGATGTGTCAAGTAGATGAGGGTTGCTAACAAAGCTGGATTTTGCCTCTTAGGTTCACAGTGAAGATTACAGTTTGTCTAGATCCAATGTAGATATTTTTTGTTTGTTTTTGCATTTTCTGTGAGTCTAATGAAGAAGAAAAGTGCTTGCTGCAAACTTACAGACAAAAGTATTTCTTTGAGGAACAGACTGGGTCCAATTCTATTTATCTATTTACCAAAGCTATTTATCTATTGATTTCTTTTGGGTTTAGTTGGGTCAGATTGAAAATGATTATATTTTAAAAAGTTAATTTTAGCCTCCAAAGTTAAAAAAAATCAACAGAAAGATGAAGTCAAGCTTCCTATTACTTTTCATATAACAGAGATCAATTGTTATACCTCAAGACAGCTTATTAGAAAGTCTTGCTCCTTCCCACTGATATTTTACATTCATGCCTGTGAACATTTGTAAGCACTTTCGTGTACTCATCCAATCTCACTGAAAGTACACCTTTTAAAAAAACTTAATTTAAACAGTCTGTTCTACAGACTTTGTGTTCTTTGCCCTGGTACCAGTTACTGTAATTAGTGCTCCTTCTGCAGTGCCTCCTGATCTCATCTGCATTTGGTGCTTGCACTAGCCTTTGTAGTCTCATTATTTCAAATGCCACTTTTTTTTTTCCCTTCTTCTTTCTGTTTCTACATACCTTGGTGAAACATCCCTTAATGGAATCAGTATTAGAGGATCAAGGCTGATCTGTAGGGCTATATAGAAATTGCACTTCACTTGTATACCCTGTATATGATTAAAGGCTTTGCTGTGTGCCTTGTTTTGTCCCCCAAGTATTAAGGAAGGTGTCTGTGCAGTCTTTTAAAAAGTACTTAAGGGTGGCATAACCTTTACTGTAGCCTATCAAACCCATACTGTTTCCTGTCCATAGATGAATGCTTTGCTGCATGGCATTTGGGGTTTCCATCTGTGAATCAGTCTCGAATTTCTGTCCCAGTGAAAGTGATAGATAAAACAACCATTAAAAAAAATCCCTTTTCTCTTCTTCCCATCAGTGCACTGATATAATTCCTGTTACAGGAAGAAAGCATGTCTGATTAGCAGGAGAAGTGGGGTGTTTATTTTCTATCACAAAGACTAAATGTTATTCTCTTTATAGGAGGGTAGGAATTTTCTGTTTGTAAACCCTGGGTTACTGTCAAGTGGTCATTGGAGAAACATGTTACATGTACATGCAGCATGTGGTGTGGGCACACATCCATAAGGGAGTGAAAGAATTTGGATTCATTCTTTGCAGAAATGTGGGATTTACGTTGATTTCACTGGAAGTAGAAACGGTCCTACAGCTGCCTCAGAGGACATGCAGTACTTTGCTTACTCACTTAGGTAATATTTAACTCAAGAATAGCTACAGGCTCCCTGGAAGTGGGTACTTCTTAGTAAAGAAAGCATAGTAACAATCATCCCTGCGATTGCATGCTCCATTGCTGGCATTCTTTCAGGTATTTTTTTCCTACATAACTCCTATGGAAAAAAACTGTAATGGTAGTGTAGGAATCTTTTCTCACTGCAGAATTTTCAAATCATGACATCAAATGTATTGTGAAAATAGCTGGCATAGCTTTTGCAAATAAGCTGTTTCCTGCTAATTATGAGTTTGGTCTGCTGTAAAGGAATCATTACTGTTCTCTTTAGAAGTGTTACAAGTGGAAAAACTAAACCACGAAGGTCTTGGTGTAGAATAAAAACATTGATTCATGGAGTCAGTACTGAATGGCTACCATGCTCCAGTGTCACAGCTTATCTCATCCTGAAGCAGCTTCTTCATGGAGCCAAAGAGAAAATGACATCTGTAAAATGTGTGTTTGCTTTAAATTTGCAGTAGGAGAGCCTTTATTGTATGTGTTTAGAAAGTTCTACAGACTGCTGGTAGAGCTTGCTACACCCATCTGGCTGCAGTCCAGTTAAGTCTACCCAGACCATTCCCCTGGAACACAGTGTGGGTACATCTCCAGTCAGGTGGAAAAGCTTTGTCCTTTAACTGTCACATCATGAACTTATTGTCATGTTTTCATTATTCTAAATTATTAAAATATCAAAGCTCTTGAAATTCTAAGCAAGGGTTGTAAGTAGTCTCTCTTGGGATAAGCAGATTATTAAAATTTGTCTTCCCATTATAGACTGAATCTCGGTACTAATTTATTATCTGTCTCAGGTAAATAGTTGACAATAAGGAATAAGCAACAAGACACCGCTTCAATATTTGATGCAGTGCC